TACATTTCTTTTAAGGATTCTCTAACTTACTAATCAATTAATCTCAGTTCACTTTCTGACTGAAGTATCAGAATATTTTCCATTGAATATATTCATTTATGTTGAATATTTAACAATACTTTCCATTAGTGGTAATGACATTTCTTTTTCTAAATTTTTTTTTTCTGGTACTGGGGATCGAACTCAGGACCTTGTGCTTGCAAGTCAGGCCCCTTTTTTTAGTTTTGTGAGACAGAGTCTCACTGTGTAGTCCAGGCTGGTCTTAAATTCACTATGTAGCCCAGGCTGGCCTCAAACTTGTAGCAGTCCTCCTGCCTCAGCCTCCCGAGTACTGGGATTACAGGTGTGTGCCACTGCACCTGGCCATTTTTTGAATATCTGGCCAGATAACTTGTGACTCATGTCTTCTCCTAATACTCTGTTCCTTATTTAGCCATATAATCAGTGAAGTAAAAGTCCAAGAGAAATAACCTGCTACTTATAAGTGACAGAAGAAGTAAGCCAGAAGAAACCAAGGAAGCTGAAAAATGGCCAGCCTGCCCATTGAAATCAACTCTAATGGGGTTACTGGAGTAGACGATACCTCAGTGAGATGTCACCAATGCAGGTAACTACTCCCTGGAACCCAAAACATAAAGATAATGGAAAATCAATTTCTACCCACTGTCTTAGGAAATATAACTAATTGCTAATGGAAATAAAATTATTAAAACCCATGAACTTCATTCAAATGTATAAATAAATGAAAGAATTGCTGGGAAAAATAACTTTAAAGAACAGAGAAGTAGACTTACCTATACACTAAGGTACCAAAAAGTCTCTTTAGATAAAACTGGTATTGACACAATGCACATCAGTGAAGCAATAGAATACAAAATAGCCATATCAAGAAAAAAGTGATTAAATTCTATGTGAAAAAATTTAAATATGATACATACAAAAGCCTACAAGCAAATTCAATACATCAATGAAATTATTTGAAAAATATATCAGGGATAAAACCTGATCTTACCAGAAATGCTCTAGGTTGAATCCCCAGTACTGTGGGAGGAAAAAAAATTTGATCTGAGCAGTTTTCACGAATATTTTAAAAAATGCTTTAAGATCTATTCCGTGATGCTCAACTTCAATCATAGTAAAAGCAAATTAAAACTACATAGGCCTGGCCCCAGTGTCCACCAGGTCGGCCTGGCCCAGCCATGATCAAGGCGATCCTCATCAACAACCACAGAAAGCCGCAGCTCTCCAAGTTCTACCAGCTGTACAGTGGAGATACACAGCAAGAAATCATCAGGGAGACTTTCCATTTGGTATCGAGGAGAGATGAAGATGTTTGTAATTCCCTTAAAGAAGGATTATTATTTTTCTTTTTAAAGAAGGATTATTAATTGGAGGATCTTACAACAAACTGATTTATAGACATTATGCAACACTACATTTTGTCTTCTGTGTGGATTCTTCAGAAAGTGAACTTGGTATTTTAGATTTGATTCAAGTGTTTGTGGAAACATTAGACAAATGTTTTGAAAATGTCTGTGAACTGGATTTAATTTTCCATGTAGACAAGGTTCACAATATTCTTGTGGAAATGGTGATGGGGCGTGGTATTGGAGAGCAACAGGAATGAAATTGTTACACACATTGATGGACAAGATAAACTGGAGAACTCTTAGGCTGGCTTAGCAGGAGCTCCAGCCCGCGCTGTATCAGCTCTAGAGAATATGCATCTTCCTGAGATCCCAAGGAATATTAACATTGGTGACATCAGTAAGAAAGTGCCAGGCCCAGGGATTTAGCCCAGTGGTTCCACCGCCTGCCTCATAAGCGCAAGGACCCGAGTTCGATCCCTGGTACCAAAAAAAAAAAAAGTGCCAAACCTGCCCTCTTTTAACTAAAACATTAAATAGGCCACTCCCAGGTAAAATCCAGGGGGAAAAGTCATCTAAGTGTACCATACAGTTGTTATTTTTATCAAAAATAGAGGAGAGTCTTAACTTTTGCTCTTGGACTTAAGTCAGGGTACTGTATAGAAATTGTGTAAAATAAGTATGAAAGTTCAATGTTGCTTTTCTTGCTTAGCGATTTTAAAGAAATTGTATAGTTCCAGTGTGATATTTTTTTTTCTTTTCTAAACTGCATTCCTGTGCCAACCTAAGGCATGCCTCTACGTATTGGCTATTACAATATTTTGAAAGTGCAGTATTTCTTTAATTATGTACAACCCAAAATGTTGGTGTTTTGTATGGGTCACAAGTGCAACAGTCCTTAATTCTTTCTATTTGTCACAGTTGTTAAAGAATCAAGTATGTATTGCATGAAAGTATTATGACCTTTTCCTCTTAGTTTAAATAAACTCAAAGGTAACTGGATTTCTAAAGCAACTTTCTGTTTGCCTGATATCTACTTTAGCAATAATTTTTTTATGACCCTCTGACTCAAAAAGTGAATAAAGGTATATTTTATCATTGTTTAAAAAAAAAAAAAGCTACATGGAAGTACCATTTATCAGCTGCCAGATAGATGAAATCCAAAGTTTGACAAAACAGCCTGTTGGCCTGATAGGAAACAAGTCCTCCAGTGTGTTGGTGGTGAGTGTGTGGAATGATTCAACCCTACAAAAGGCATCTTGTCATCTACCGAGAAACCTAGTGAGGCACTTAACCTTTTGATCTAGCATAGCACTTCTGGGAACTTTGAAAATACATGTCTACAAATAGAAAGAAGATAGAAAGTTTCTCGTTGCAGTATTATTTGTAAATGGAAACAATTGTAAACTATCTAAACACTTATCCACATGAACGATTGAATAACCTACCCCAATGTGCCAAGCACAATGTTCAGGCACAAAACAGAATGAGGATGATATCTATGAACTGGTGTGAAATGGTTTTCAGACATTATTTTTATATTAAATGAAAAAAGATGTGAACTAGTATATATAATGTGAAGAAATAAGTATATGCATACTTATATTTAATTTTTATGTAATATATACACAAACAGAAGTAAATACACGTTCTTATACATGCAAATATGCATGCATGTTTGTGTATATAAAACATTTTACATATTTTCACAGAAGTAAATACAAGGTGCAGCGCAAAATGAAAAATTACTTATGAGAGTGGGTGAAAGTAGAATTCAGGATGTATGAATGTGGCAAAGACTTTTCTGAAAATATACTTTGATTTTTTGATATATGTTTATAGAGTATTTTAAATAAGGTGAAAACAAAAGGATTAAACAGAAACGAACTCAAATATATCAAACTAAAAACAGAAAAGTTTAGGTGACTTGAACATAGTATTCTGACTATATACTCTTAGTGGAATACTGTCTGTGGACATATCGAAATCTACAATAATATATTGAGTTCTATTTAGTAGGTACACTTTTGGGAGTATCCTACAGCACACAGTATAATATAATTATTAAAGCAATTCTGTGTTTATCTAGCTTAAAGCAAATGAATACATTGTTTTAAATTATTTTGCACTATTTTTTTCACTGTGACAGAAGGAGATACAAATATGGAATGTGGAAAGCCAAGGAATGCTCTGTAAGGTTAACACTGAATTAAATTTGTGACATTTCAGAAATGTATGTACCAGCCCTGTCCACGAAAGGGCCTAGAGGTGATGACACCCCAGGGATGATGAGCCTACGTACTACCTGACCATTGTTACGTAAAACTTTGCTCTGTAAAGTGAAATCACTACTTCTTGGAAAAACTGTTGAAACCATGTCTGGTTTAGAGAAAATGCAACATGGGCCTTGAATTTATTTCTGTAAAAGATGGGGGAATACTGGAGAATGGACCCAGGGCCTTTGCACTTAGTTACATCCCGGGCCTTTTAAAATTTTTCTTTTCAAGACAGGGTCTTGCTAAGTTGCCCAGACTGGGCTCAAATTTGCAGTCTTCCTGCCTCAGCCCCACAGAGTGCTGGAGTTACAGGTGTGTGTTATGTCTGGGTGGGATAAATATATTTTTCAGTATATATATATATATATATATATATATATATATTTTTTTTTTTTTTTTCCAGTACTGGGGATCAAACTCAGGGCCTTGTACTTACAGGGCAAGCATGGTACCACTGAGCTAACTCCCTGGCCCTGAATGTATTTTTCAAATGAATAGGTCTTGTGGTCACTACCTTAAGCAGCGGTGAAACAACCTGTTGGAATGTGCCCTGTGACGTCACACAATAAGTACACACCACTGATGCAGTATTCGTACAGAAATGTCTAACCAGAATCTGTGAAGGAACAGTAAGACAGATCCCAATGTGAAATTTTCTGAAACACAGCTGGCTCTGACTCTTCAAAATTGAATGTCAAAGTAAGAAATGTCTTCAGATTAATTGAGGCCAAGGAAAAATAAGATGTGGAATAAATATTAATTGGATCATGGAATTTTAAAAACTATAACATATTTTGGAGACAACTGGGGAATTTAACTATAAACCGTGTGCTACATAATTGATGTAAGGAGAAGATACTGTTTTCCATCCAATACAGTTTTCAATTTGGATGGCTTTTTTTCCTGATCCATAATACTAATTTTTCCACATTTGGTTTAGAACTACTATAAGGTTCTTTGCTGTGTTAGATAGCTCCTTGGTCACTATTAGATAACTTACTCCTAGTCTGAAATATTCACTTTCAACTCATGACACTGTAACACTTTTCTTTCAGTTATCACAATTTAGGACACATGTCTTTAATGTACTCCCATTGTTTTTACCCTAAACAGAAACTACAGGAGTACATATCAACTCTTGTCCATTAGAGTCAGTTTCTGTGTATACCTCTGGCTTTATTAATTTCTCTTATTTTCATTTCTCGTCTTAGTATATCTTGCATTGCCCTTAAGAATACAGTGAAGACAGTTTCTTTTTACCTCACATTCAGTTTCAGTGCAAGAATGTTTCGAGGCTTAGCTATGGGTTGTGCATTAATTATTTACATTGATTATTAAATGTACCAATCTGTCTCAGGTGTCACAGGACATTTATGAGGAAGAAATTCCTGCGGAAAAAATGACTCCTCTGGATTCTGCACAAGAGTCCATGAGTATTGAACTCCAGCCTGCAGAAGGTGGAATGGAATGTGATTCTCCAGAACCACACCCTCTTCAAGATAATGGTGAGGATAATTTAGTCCTGGGAAAGTGGAGAAGACTTCAGCAAGGAAAGATCTACTCCTTGAGATTATGAGGCCTTTTCAGCTTTTACTGAATATAGTTGAAGGAAAAATTAACCAATGTAATGTAATCTTACTAATGGAGATCAGTTAGGCTGTCATGTAATAATGTCAAAAATAGTTGAACACAAGATTTTCTATGGATCCTTTGCAGTAGAGTTAATTAGTATCTGCGGATAAAAGAGACACCTCTGTGTGTGAATATTGAGCCCTTGACCATGTGTCCCATTGCTAAAGCCTCTGCTCCCAGATTTTGGTCACATGATGGTTATGTAAGACTTGGAAAAACTATTTAGAAATGCTACTGAATAAAGCAGTTTCTGAAGTCTGTCTTTTCATGTTCTAAGGTCTGTGAAGGGGTGCCATGGAGGCACAGGTGCAGGCTGGCCTGGTTCTGGAGCAGTTGTCTTTTCATAAAACGCAGAAGGATGATGGAGAAAGTGTTTTTCTCCTGCAGCCCTAGCAAGTCTCCATTCCCTATTCATCTAACTTACCAATATTTCTTCTACTACCTTCCTCAGCTCACATTCTCCTGATTTATTTTGACCTATATTTCCTTCCCAAATGCATTCTTGTTTACCTTCCTTTCCTTCTCATAGTTCAATATCATAACACAAACTGGATCAGTATAAAAAGAAATACTGTTCCTGCAATGGTTTTTTCAATCACATTCTAAGATAGCACTCACCATGAGTTTTATTTCATTATAAAGTTAGTCAGTTTTTGTTTTTTGGGTTTTTTTTGGTACTGGGGATCGAACTCGGGTCCTTGTGCTTGCGAGGCAGGCGACAGAACCACTGGGCTAAATCCCCGACCCAAATTAGTTTTTATGATGCTCTTTTGTTTTTATTTTTTGGGGTTTTTTTTTAGCAAAACATTTATTGGTACATTTTAGGTATATATAATGATAACTTTTCATCATAGGGAATTTGTATCAGTACATGATGTATCTTGTATGAAGCACTTTTGAATGCAGTCAAAATGTAAAAAAATGTTAGATAATGTGGAAAGATACTAGAGAACTAACTGATCCCTGTTTCTTTAGAAACTTACAATCTTGTTAGATGTACCTATGAAACAATTAAAGAAGAAAGTGCTATAGTGCTAATTTGGGTTATGAATAGATTATATTTTTCTGAAACATACTGTGAGCTTAAGTTTAGTGACCTAAGAAGTCTTACTGAAGCAATTGAGAGATGAGGCCAAAACACACAGTAACATATTGATTTAAAATAGTTTGGGTGATTATGAACATTTAAGAATGATTTGAATTTACTAGTTGAATATTTGGTATGCAAATTAGTAGTATGTACAGTGTTACCTGAGAGACAGTTATAAGACTGTCTGAATGTACTATACTAATTCCAAATTATTCTTTTTTATTGTTTTCAAAATATTTTTCTCCAGACTTAGTAAGCCAAGTTTGAGGTATTAGTTGAGATAATGGTGAGGATATTCTAAGTGTTTGTGTTATGACTATTCTAAACATTTCTTTTAACATGCTTTATTAGATCAGAGATTTTTGGCTTTGTAGTTTTACAGGCCCAAAAAGAGAACCAATATAAACCTAATATGTAGAAAAGCAGTATTATTGAACCTAAAATATTGATACTATGTACCAGACAACCTGACTGAATAAAATAGAAAATGTGGTTGTAGTCTGCAGCTTTTAAAAAAACCCATTATTATATTGCTAAAGGCTCTCTAACCAAAATAATATTTTTATGTAGTAAATAAATGCAAACATTAACTCGAATCCTGCTTTACATGAAATAGTGCTTTCCTTAAGGCTAATCCTGATACTTTTCTGGAAAGCCACATTTCAGCTTTCTACTCTTTTACTGTATTAGAACTGTTTTGTTCTTGGCTGGAGTTTTCACCTTTCCTTCGTTCCACCGAGATTGACCTCCTCACCAAAATCAGTTTTCCCTTCTGTGTGTCTGTAGCCCGTTTTCACCCCACATTCTATTGGCTACTCAGGAAATGTGCGTGTGTGCATTCACATGCACATGCGCGCGCGCACACACACACACACCAAATATTCTAATTTTTTTCCTTTATATTTTAGGGTCATTTTTGTGGCTTTCCATGATGTCTCGAAGCATGGGTGATGATAACCTCAGTAGCTTAGATACTAATGAAGAAGAAATTGAACCAGAAAACATGAGAGAAAAATTCTTCAAAAGCTTAGCAGTATTATTGGAAAACAAAAGTAATAATACTAAGATATTTTCTAAAGCTAAGTACTGTCAATTGATAAGAGAAGTAAAAGATGCTAAAGCTAAGGCAAAACAGGAGTCAGTTGACTACCGTTGGTTGGCTAGATTCGATGTGATCCTTGTACAAGGAAATGTGAAGTTAATTGAGGCTATAAATGGAGAAACAGATAAAGTACGGTATTATTTACACAGTGAGGACTTATTTGATATTCTGCATGATACACATCTCAGCATTGGACATGGTGGACGTACTCGCATGGAGAAGGAATTACAAGCTAAATACAAGAACATCACAAAAGAAGTTATCATGCTATATCTGACACTCTGTAAACCATGCCAGCAGAAAAACTCAAAACTCAAGAAAGTTCTAACATCAAAGCCAATTAAGGAAATTAACTCCAGGTGGCAAGTAGATCTCATAGACATGCAGTTGAATCCTGATGGGGAGTATAAATTTATTATGCATTATCAAGACCTTCATACGAAGTTAAGTTTTTTGAGGTCACTAAAATCTAAGAGGCCTCAGGAAGTTGCACATGCTCTTTTAGATATTTTTGCAGTTATTGGAGCACCCAGTGTCTTACAGTCCAATAATGGGAGAGAATTTTCAAGTCAGATCATCACAGAACTCAGTAATATTTGGCCAGAATTAAAGTTGGTCCATGGGAAGCCTCAGGTTTGCCACAGTTCTACAGAAGAAACTGAGGAAATCCAAAAGAGAATCTTCTCCTGGATGCAAATGAACAATTCACCACACTGGGCTGAATTTTTGTGGTTCATTCAGATGATCCAAAACCAGCCCTATCACAGAGGCATGCAGCAGACTGCATGTGAAGATGTATTTAGCTCTGAAGCTAAGCTAGACCTGTCTCACTCTCAGTTGACTGAAGAGCTCGTTGGCAGACTGCACAGAGAAAATAAATTAGACCAGGTTAATAAAGAGCTAGAAAATACTCTCAGAGCCCAGTATGAAGAATACATTGAGACTAGAACAGATAGTGACATTGAAGAAAATCTTTCCATTACCACTAAAGTGGCTAAAAATTCCCCTCCTGAAAGCAGGTTAAGATTTTTATGCTGTGTACTTTGTGAAAAAGAATCCATAGGTGCTAGTAATTGTGTATCATATCTTGGAAATGTCCATGCCCTCCATGGGGTGTCTTCTCACCAGGAGGCTTCAGGCTGTGGTCGACAAATAACTGGTAGTCTTTGTCATGAGATCAGTACAATGAAAAGGAAACAGGAGGTTCACAGAGGGTTGCATGTTCAACCGTCCAAAATGCTAAAGCCATCAGTGACACCATTTTCACCAGACACAGTAGGAGACTGGGTAAGAGTTTGAGTATCTCGTGTGATGAAAGCTGGGGAAAAGCTTTATTGCACTTTGCTCTGATCTTGATGGATAAGAATTTTGTTCACCTTCAATGTATTTTTCCTGATGAAGAACATGACTTCCACCTTTTCATCAAATTTGAAGTTATAAATTTGAATGCTACATCGTTTATTGTTTTGGGATGATGAACAGTGTCTCTTTTTAGGCATTTCTTGGGGGAATGAGAAATCTCATATCAAGAGGATAAATAATGTATATGATACTAGGTTTCTACAGAAGAATGAATTTAATAACATGAATTTAAGGTGACTGTTTCAGTTATATGTGAGTTTGGACAGTAAAAGGCATTTCAAATCAAGTAAAGAAATACTTAGGAGAGGTGAGGGATGCATGATAAATTTTGTCAGAAGACAAGTGTGTTTGTTTTTTTTTATATAGCAGGGATTGAACTCAGGACCTTGCACTTGCAAGACAAGTGCAGTACCACTGAGCTAAATCCCGGGCCCCAAAAGATAAGTTTGTATTGGCAGAGTTCAGTTCTGAGATTTGAATGGAGAACATGAGGTAAGGCCTACACAACTTTAAATCAGGCTCTCTGAGGTAGAGCTGATGTTCTGAAATAGTTACCCTTTATTGGAGCCGGGGATTTAGCTCAGTGGCATCGTGCTTGCCTCGAAAGCGCAAGGTCCTGAATTCAGTCCCTGGCATTAAAAAAAAAAAAGTCACCCTTCATTAAGGCTAGTGGTATTCAAAGTGTGATCTGCAAACTATTGATATGATGGCTTGCGAATTATTTTTACCAGTCCATGAGAGAAATATAAAAACTGAAGGTATAGAAACATATATAAACAATACAAGAGGAAAAAAACATTTATAACAACTTGACTTTGCTGCAACCTCCAAGCACATGATTAATGGGTTCATCTTACTGAGTATAGACCAGTTTAGGTGTTGCTAACTGCTCAAGGTGAGTCCCTTGTGGTGGGAGTTGCACTAGTAAACACAATTAAGGTTACTTTGTAATGTGTGCTATTTTACGTTTAGTTCATCATCTAACTTAGAAGTACAGTGGTACTTTGGTTCATGAACTTAATTCATTGCACCATTCTGGAAAAAATGGCCATGTTCATGTTCATGTTCATGTTCATGTTCATGTTCATGTTCATGTTCATGGGAAAGATGGCTATGGTTGTATTTGTCACCCAATGCAGAGTTCACAAACGAAAACAAAATTTTACCAAAGGCTTCTGTTTGCAAACCAAACTGTTACCGCTATATTCAAGCTCAAAAATGTAAGCATTTATTATTTTTATAACGGTTTAAAATCACTTTTTATTTTTAACCAAGTCTAGTTTTGTTTTGTTTTGTTTTGTTTTTGGTACCAGGGATTGAACTTGGGTCCTTGCGCTTGTGTAGCAGGCAGCAAAACCACTGAGCTAAATCCCTGGCTAACCAAGTCTAGTTTTGAATTTATTGTTTTAACATTAAGATGGAGAAGTAAAGTTTATATTATTAATTTTAATCCTAATTTGCAGGTGGCGAAACAAGCTTCACTGGACTTTCTTGTCAAGAAAAGACACACTTTCTTGGAATATAGCAATAGTAATAAAAAAAAAATGGTAACAATAGAAGTTATCCTGGAGAGAGAAAAGCCAAAAGAGTTCATACGAGTTTTACTCAGAAATATGATCCTTCATACATTGAGTTCGGTTTTGTAGCTGCAATTGATGGTGAAGTGCTAAAGCCACAGTGCATTATTTGTGGAGATGTATTGGCTAATGAAGCAATGAAACCATCAAAACTTAAGCGGCATTTATATTCAAAACATAAAGAAATAAGTTCACAACCAAAAGAATTCTTTGAGAGAAAGAGTAGTGAATTAAAAAATCAACCAAAGCAGGTATTCAATGTTTCTCATATAAATATTAGTGCTCTGAGGGCTTCCTATAAAGTAGCACTTCAGCTGCCAAGTCCAAAACACCATACACAATTGCTGAGACACTTGTGAAAGACTGTATCAAAGAAGTTTGCTTGGAAATGTTGGGTGAATCTGCAGCAAAGAAAGTAGCACAAGCACCACTTTCCAATGACACCATAGCTCGCCGAATTCAAGAGCTGGCTAATGATATGGAAGAGCAACTCATAGAACAGATAAAGTTGGCAAAATACTTCTCATTGCAACTTGATGAGTGCAGAGATGTTGCTAACATGATAATTCTTTTAGTCTATGTGAGGTTTGAACATGATGGTGACATAAAGGAAGAATTCTTTTTTTCAGCCTCTTTACCTCCAAACACAACTAGCTCAGAACTGTATGAAGCTGTGAAAAATTACATTGTTGACAGATGTGGCTTGGAATTTAAGTTTTGTATAGGAGTGTGTTCTGATGGCACAGCTTCAATGACAGGAAAATATTCCAAAGTGGTCACCCAGATTAAGGAACTTGCTCCAGAATGTAAAATAACACATTGCTTCATCCATTACGACAGTCTTGCTATGAAAAAAATATCAGCTGAACTATATAGTGTGCTTACTGACATAGTAAAAATTGTGAATTATATAAAATCTAATGCGGTAAATTCAAGATTGTTCTCTTTATTATGTGATAATATGGAAGCTGATCATAAGCAACTGTTACTGCATGCTGAGATACGGTGGCTGTCTCGGGGAAAAGTTCTATCGAGAGTGTTTGAAATATGAAATGATCTCAGTCTTTTTGCAAGGCAAGAAACCTGTTTGGTCTCAACTTTTTGAAGATGTGAATTGGATATCGAGGCTTGCTTATTTATCTGATATCTTTAGTATTTTTAATGATCTTAATGCTTCTTGCAAGGAAAAAATGCAACATGTTTTTCAATGGCAGATAAGATCGAAGGACAAAAACGAAAGTTAGAAAGTTGGAAAAACAGAATTTCTGAAAATTGTTATGACATGTTCCACAATTTAACAACAATCATTAATGAAGTTGATAATCTTGATAGTGCACATCTGCGGAAAGTTATCAGTGAACATCTTAAAAATTTGTTAGAGTGTCTTGAATTTTATTTTCCTTCAGAAGAAGATCCACGTTTAGGAAATTCATGGATCCAAACCCATTTCTCGCATCAAAAGATAATTTGAATTTAACTGTAGCCTTACATGATAAGTTGTTGGAACTAGCTTCTGATGAGGGTTTAAAAATAAAATTTGAAAATACAGTATCCCTTGCTTCATTTTGGATAAAAGTTAAAAATGAGTGCCCTGAGCTTGCTGAGATTGCTTTAAAATCTCTTCTTTTATTCCCTTCAACATGCCTGTGTGAGGCAGGGTTCTCTGCTGTAAGTGTTATTAAAACAAAACACAGAAACAGTTTAAATATACGTTATCCTCTTAGAGTGGCATTGTCATCGATCCAACCTAGATTAGACAAACTAACAAGCAAGAAGCAAGCTCACTTATCACGTTAAAATCTTTAAATGACACATACAGTGGTCATGCAACATATGCATTTAGGCATTTGGCGTGAGGAATTTATTTCACTTTAGGCTTTCTGTTTAATTACTATTGTGGAAGTATCAAGTTATGAGTAAAATAGCAATTCTCTATATAAATTGCCTGTAAACATTCAGTAAAGCATTTATACAATTTTTATAATTTTATTTTCCTGTTATATTGAAGTATAACTTTTTATTTGTTAACCCTAATATTAAAAACTTCATGTTGTTTTTTGTATGTCTTTGCTGTTGTATACATTAGCAGCTTGAGATTGTAGGACAGCTTCCATGTTGAAAGGGCACATGAGGTCAGTGAAGAGGAGTGAGTTCATTAAGTAGGATTAGGATTCAGATGCAGTGCAGGGGGTCATCAGGATGTTAAATTTGTTCAACTGATCGGGGTGGTTAGGTTGGAAGTTGGAGTTAGGTTTGTTTTGTAGATACCTGGATACACACTGTAAATAGGTGAGGTATAATTGTGTTGAAGTTCTGGGCTCATATTGATAAATTCTGATTTCCTAAGGGTGGGAGACCGTGCTATGGTAATAAGCTTGTGCCAGAAGGTTTTTAGACTTAGCTATAGCATATTGCTGCTGGAGTACTTAGAACACGGTTATTATGAGCATCTCAAGGAAATTTACATCCTCTATTTTGTTTGGAGGTAATTGAGAAGAATATCACACATCTGCTCTGTCAGTGTAGTGGCTTACGATGACTGAAAACAGATGGTGTGAGGCAGGGTCTTTAAGGTAAATTATACCAAGATCCTTGAAGAAAATGACAGTCTTCCTAGTCGGGGCAATTTACAGTGAGTTCTCATTTTCATAGAAATGTCACATTCAAACTTGAAAGATACAAAATGTCACTAAAGATTATCCTTTTGCCTTGAAAGCAGAGGAAAAATTCAGTCTTGAAACCTTGGTTGGATTGGGTTCTTTGTGTTTTAATAAAAGCTTAAAACTACAAAAAATTTTAAAATAAACTGATTAATGGTAACTAGATTTAGAAAGTGGTTTAATTCTTGCAACCCAAAATTTATTATATGTCTCATTTTCTGTGTGACCATTTACCATGTAAAGTATTGTTTCCTATTTTTAAATTTTTTGTGAGGTTCTACATTTAATAAAAGTAGAGAAAAAATGTTCTGCAGAGCAAATGTGGGTCAATTAAAAGGAAAAGAAGTACACACTACAGGATGAAAGAGGACCACTGTGAAAGAGCACAGTGACTAAGAGCTTAATGGCCACTGTCTTTTGTATCTCCCACTCCTGGGGCTGAAATCATGTCTAGGCCATCCTATCAAAAAGTTCCTGGAGGTCTCTATGATCCCAGGACTGACTGAGATCAGCTCTACCCCACTTTTCTGGGCTTCAGAGAACCCACTACTCAAGTGTCTCCATTTCTCAGCCAAACCCTAGATCCTGCATCACAAACATACTGAGAGGGAAAAGAAAAGCCGTCACCTCTACCCAGCCCTGACTTGCCAGCCTGTTCTCTCCTCAGTGTCCACCACCTTCTCCACAGGATCCTGGAGTAGGAACTAGAGATTGAACCCAGAGTCTTTGCACTGGTGTACACCCTCTGCCTATTGATTGACTGATCGTCAGAATCTTACTGAATTGCCCCAGGCTGGGTTCAAACTTGAGATCCTCCTACTTCCTACCTGGCATGATATGGCATTCTGATGGGTACACATTTCCCAGTCAGAGAAAGCATTAAACTAAACTAGCAACCTAAATCCTTTAATTCCAAGGAGGTTGTGGTGACACAAACCAGGGAATGCTGGGAGACACCATCCACAACTCCATTATACACTTCAGGAGTGACACTTTCCACCCCTGGGACTGGACTGTGGGGGAGGGAGTCAGTGGGCTTTAGTGCCTTTTCTGACAGCGGTAGATTTGAAGTGCTTTCAAGGACTGGGCCCAGGGAAGAGGACATTGTGGTAGCACAGGAATGAAAAGATTGGCCTGGCTCAATTATCATTGGTGTTTTACTTTTTTCAATTTAAAGATTGAAGTATTGGAACCATGGGAATAAAGGTTCAGTGTCCTCGATGTTTTTTTGATATCGTCATTAACCACCCTGCTGGAAGAGTGGTCTTTGAATTGTTTTCTAATGTGTGCCCCGAAACATTCAAGAACTTTCATTGTCTTTGTACAGGAAAAAAGGGGACAGGGAAATCAACTCAGAAGCCATTACATTATAAGAGTTGTCTTTCTCACAGAGTTGTTAAGGATTTTATGGTTCAAGGTGGTGATTTCAGTGAAGGAAATGGAAGAGGAGGAGAATCTATGGAGGATTTTTTTCAAGATGAGGGTTTTGCTGTTAAACACAATGAAGAATTTCTTTTGTCAATGGCCAACAGAGGGAAAGATACAAATGGTTCACAGTTCTTCATAGACTAACTTTGTTTTTCTCTGACTTTGTTTTTATTCTGTCTGATAACTTCCAAAAGAACAATGAAAACAACTCATTTAGATGGGCATCATGTTGTTTTTGGACAAGTGATCTCTGGTCAAGAAGTTGTGAGATAGAAAACCAGAAAACAGACACAGCTAGCAAACCATTAGCTGAGGTACAGACACTTGGCTGTGGAGAGCTGATCCCAAAATCTAAAGTTAAAAAAGAAGAAAAGGCATAAGTCATCATCCTCTTCCTCTTCATCATCCAGTGATTCAGATAGCTCAAGTGATTCCCAGTCCTCTTCTGAGTCTTCTGATTCTGAAAGTGCTTCTGAAGAGAAATTTTTAAAAAAGAAAAAAAAATAGAAAAAATTCCCAGAAACACAAGAAAGAAAAGAAAAAGAGAAAGAAAAGCAAGAAAAGTGCATCTAGTGAAAGCAAGGTGGAAAATCTTTAAGCACAACCCCAGTCTACTATCTGTCCAGAAGAGATCCCTCCTATACCAGAAAATAGATTCCTCATGAGAAAAAGTCCTAAAGCTGATGACAAGGAACAGAAAGACAGAGAGAAAGAGAGAGAGTGAGTAATGTCCCTAACTCTCATCCTGCTTCATACCAGAGATGACTCTTAGTTACTAGATCTGGCAGGAAAATTAAAGGAAGACCAAGACATCAAACTCCTTCCAGATCCAGATCAAAGGATCATTTCAGATATAGTGAGACTCCTCCCCATTGGAGGCTAGAGATGCAGAGAGCTCAACAAATGAGTATCAAGTGGTGAAAGATGGATCAAAGTGGATAAAAGTGAGTTGAATGAAGTGAAAGAAAATTAAAGGAGCCCAGTTAGATTAAAAAAGAGAAAAATAACTGATCACAGGCATGTGTCTGGAAGCCCAAACAAAAAATGAAAAGGAAAAGAAAGTTAAAGACCATAAATCTGAGAGCAAAGAGAGAAATCAGAAGAAATTCAGAAAAAGAAGATAAATCTAATAAAAACAAAGTGACTAAAAGGGCCAAATCTAAAAGTAGGAGTAAAAGCAAAGAGAAGTCAAAGTGTAAGGAAAGAGATTTAAAACATAACAGATATGATGAAAAGAGGTTGAAGTTGAGTAAAGAATGAGATCATGAGAATATTAAAGAAAAAGAAAATTTGATTCTAAAGGAAAAGATCAAGAAAGGAGTAGAAGTAAAGAGAAGTCTAAGCAGATAGAATCAAAAAGTAATGAGTGCGGTCATAGTAAAAGTAAAGAAAAGGATAGACGCACACAGTTCAGGTGTAGAGAATGTGATGTAACCAAAGGTAAAACATAATTACAATAGTAGAACAAGGGAATGAAGCAGAAATAGGGACAGGAGTAGAAGAGCGTGATCCAGAAGCCATGACAGAGATCACAGCAGAAGCAAGGAGTACCATAGATACAGAGAGGAGTACAGGAGAAGAAGAAGGTCATAATGCTGACAGAGAAGAGGAGCACCAGGAAGATCGAAAAATAAAGATAGGAGGAGGAGAGATTCACGGAGCTCAGAGAGAGAAGAAAGTCAAAGGAAAAACAGAAGCCAAGAAAGTAAGAGCTCACACAGAAAAGGAAATTCTGAGGGTGAGAAAAGAACGTACTCTAAAAATCATCGTAATAGCTCAAGTAGTAACAGGGGAAAAAAGGCTGATAGGGGTCAAAGTCCATTCTCAAAAATAAAACAAAGCCAAGACAGTGAATTAAAGTCCTCCACATCATAAACTAAGGAGGGATGAGAAGGCCCGATTCTCAGTGGAAAATTAAAACCCAAAATCAAAGGCTGCAAAAAATGACCATGTACATAATAAAAACAAAAAATTTAATCATGAATCTAGCCCTATAACAGATGAAGACAAAATTGGATGAGTGAGTTGTATAAATTTATTTCCTTTCTATCTCAAAATTTAAGTTTTGGAGACTTGCTGGTGAATATTTTTATGTTGTTTTCATTATTTTTTGGGTTATTTTATGTCCTTTTTTGTTTTTTTTTTTAATGTGGACTTCATTGAGTTGATCTTTGGATAATCTGCAATCTGGATAATTTGTACTGCTAAAGTTTTAATAAACTTGAAATGAGAAACAGTTGCTTGATTTCTCACAAGGAAAATTGGAGATAGCATTCTCTGATTGGTCCCAGGTTCAGGGCTTGGGAACTGTTTTTCTGTGCATTTCTTGGATCTCCATTATTGACATGTCATGTCCACTTGCTTGGCTTTTTGGCCACATCCTAATCTCCTGCCTTGTTTCCCCAAGAGATATAAATTCCCATAATTATTTATGAGGTGTTGAGAGTGTGAAAGTCTCCATCTTCATATAGCTATTTCCTGCTGAAACAGGTTGGAAGCTCTACCCACTGGGGCTTATGTACTTTCCAACTACCTTGGGATGTTTGTGGCTCACTGGCTGGGCTGAAAGAAAAACCTAGCAGGAAACCATAAAAAAAGGATTAGTGTCTATATGTGATGGACTATTGAGCTGCCTGTTTGATGGAGAAAGCTTGGTGAGTTTGTCAAGAGAGTAATGTTACTATTAGGTTGAGGATGTAGAGTCCAAATATGAGGAGCAGGTCAGATTTTCATGTTTCCTGTATAGGTGAAAGTGTGGCAAAAAGGGATGTTAGGTAAATTATCAAGAGCCTGAGAGCTGCAGCCCTAGCAAGATTACCCACATTATGGATCTAGTTAAAAACAAGTCTCATTACAGGTGCCCATTCAAGCTGTGGTGGATTAAGGGTCTTTAATGACTCTACTTACCTGCACCCAGAGCAGTACTAGAGTCTTGCTTTTTGAAGTACTAGAGTCTTGCTTATGTTTTCTGGAGGGTCACAGAAGTACAGGCCTAGTCCTGTGAAAATTTGACCCTTTCCCACATAGGGTTTTTATAGCTTTCCACTACATCTCTCTCTCTCTTTTTTTTTTTGTACCGGGGATTGAACTCAGGTCTTTGCACTTGTGCAGCATGCAGTGAAACTACTGAGCTAAATCCCCAGCCCTCCACTACATCTCTTAAGGAAAGACCAGTTTGAATAGTTTTTCAGGAACAGAATAAAGCTAGGACCTTGAGGGGATGTAAGACTTCCCTCCTTGCCTCTCTACCAGTCTTTTGACTTCCTAAAGAGGCTTTAGATCTGTCCCTTTGGTGTCCTTTGCAAAGAATGGCAGGGACCTGCTTGGTAAGAAAGATTGCCTCTAGGAGTTGTGGAATTTCTTGCTTGTGCTTTGTAGAAGATTGCTTAGCAAGCCCGTTTCTTTCCAGAATGCTGTATGGAAACGTAGCACCAGAAAGGCATATTTGGAGTCTGTGTAACTGGAATTGGTCCCAATTTTAGTAGTAAATCTCCTTCTAGTAAGGGAGTAGGACACTGGGACAATTAAAATCTCATGATTGAACATTTGACATTCAAAATGACATGTCAGAGCAGTTGTAAAGAAGCTCTGACTAGGGCTCTCTTTGACCTCAGTTTTGGCTATTGATCCAGAAGAGGGTTTTTCAGAGAATGAAGTTATCTATAAGGAATTGAAATTGCTTACCCATGACATCCAGCTTCACCTGGGGTTCTTCACAAGGGATGGAGATGTCCCAGGACAGAGGTATTGCAGATTATCCTGGGCCCCTTCTTTCCTCCTCATGAGTGCAGGAGGTAAGGGTTTTGGCTTGCCTCGCCTCTCTCTGAGTGCCATAAATCAGGCACACCAGCTTCCTGACAGAGCAGGGCCCAGGTGGTGGCTTAGTGTAGTCAAATGCCCAGTGTCCAGTTTCCTTGCATTTAAAAGAGGAACTCTTTCCCTGATTGGCTTGAGTTTTCCTTTACATGACTTAGGTGTGCTTACAGCATTGCCAATTACAACAGCCATAACTTTGGCTTGTCTTTTTTTTTTTTTTCTTAGCTCTTCTTTCATCCTCATCTAGACCCTGACTTGAACACAGAAAAGGTTATGTCCAGTCATTGAATCATTCGGGTCTGGGGTACAGCAAGTACCTAATTGGACATCTCATCACAATAGCTCAAAAGGAAGGGTCAAAGTTTGAAATCCACCTGCAAACCCACTAGGATCTTCTAAAAGTTGGCCTAGCCAATCTTTTCATTGTTAGATATCTGCTATTAAAAAAGGAACCTGGACTTAAGTAGTCCCCTCTACTCCTGGGACCTCCTTTAGGAGCAGGATGAGCTGTTAAAACTCAACTAGATTGTTTCTGCAAAAGGCAAGGAAGGTGGTGTGAAATCCCTTATGTTCAGGCTTGTGGCTCTTTATCTCTGGAAAGACCCCAAAACTATGGAAAAGAGGTTTCCAAGGAAGAGGAAATTGACATTGTGGATGATCCTGTCCTAAGATGCCCACCAGTCTCTCAGGGAGATATGGGTCCCTCCCACCTGTTTGATGAAAGGAACCATACTGGATTGTGTCCTCAACCACCTCCTCATAATTTTGAGGCCAGTAAATCAATCCTCTTCAAATGAATCAGAAACTCTGCCAGAGTCCAGTGCCCCAGTGATATCCAGCATTCCCCAGTCCCCTCCTTGGGTTCCCACAGGACATACTTGGAGTAGAGCTAGGTTCAAGATTATTCTTTGGAATTCTGTTATTCCTACAATTAAGTCTTGGGCCTAACTTGTAGCTCTTTGGGCCAGAGTCTCTGGATGTGAGATATTCTCTGTAGGATCCCATGGAGATGTGTGTTCCCCCTTAGCCTTTCATCATACTTATCATCTGCAGCCTTCCACTGTCTCTCTCCAAAGCTCCCTGTCCTCTAGCAGAAGCTGTAGAATCTGAGTGCCATACACACACTTTTCCAGCTCCCAGCTCCTATACCACCTGGTGCACAGCAGACCACAGCACCCCCCACCCCAACTGTTTGGTGGAAATCTAAAAACTGCACTGCTGTGAACCAGGGGCTGGCTGGGCTCCACTCAGCTGTCCTCACCAGCCAGCTGGAGGCTCAGCTTCAAACTCTCATCTTCACACCTTCTTCCCCAAAGCACTTTCCATCCCAGTAAGTTGCGCTGGGTTCCCTGAAAAGCAGACTCTAGGATGGAGTTTGCTAGGGAATTGCCTCAGGATCATCACCACCTGAGATGGGGCTGCAGTTTGTGTGCATTTGGAATTTGATGGTCATCCTGATTTACAGAGTGGGGTATATAGCTAGGAAGGGAAGCAGGGCTTGTCAGAGGAAGAATCAGGCTGCAGTGTCAGCACAAAAAGCACTGGCCTGAGTCCCCTCATGGACCAGAAACTGGTCAGAGCTTCTGGAAAGGGTAGACTGGGCCTGAGGCAGCTCCTGAAAACACAGGACCTTGAAGAGAATATGTGGGCAGGCTCAGCAGCCCGGGCAGTGTGCTCAGTGCCAGAGTGACCTGAGGAGGGAGAGAGATGAGTTAATCTGCAAGATAGGACTTAAAAACCACCACTGAAATCTTCAGTGCTGCAGAAAACATTTTACTGGAGACTGAAGGGAGGCTGTGAAGGTGAGGAGTGGGCTGAGAGGGGAATCTTTTCCTTCAGAAGATAAAACCCAGGAGCCATGACCTGAGTCCACTGGAGACCAGATGAGGAGGGAAGCTTTTGGAGATCAGAGATGAGTCCTGGGTGGGCCAGCCTGGAGCTCCCCTCCCTATGCAGAAGTCAGTGCCCCTGCCCCCTTCCCTAGGGAGGCCCCAGGAGAGAGACAGGTGGGCGTGTCCTGGATGACCACTCTGAAAAACTCAATGACAAGACATGTTGTTCCCAGGGGCCAGAATGTTAGGAAGTGGAAGCTCGATCAGAGGACTACAACCTGAGGAGGAGGAGGAGGAGGCAGAATGTTGAAGAATGTTCTTCCTCAGGAGAGGGTCAGGAAGAATGACTTCCCTTGGATAGATAGCAAAGACCCAACCCTAACCCTAACCCTAACCCTAACCCTAGGAGAGGTCTGGGGATTCAGGGTTTCCATCCTTTTATTCTTCACCCACATATTCTTCCAAGGAGAAATGGCAGTAGCCTTCCAAATTCAACTCTGCTAGGCAGAGTGGAATCTTTGGCAGAGTGGAGTGTAGTTACTTCAACGAGTAGAGACGTTTAGGTGGACGTGTGTTGAGAAGACAGATTTTCCCAGAGCAGGTCTTCAGGTGAGAAGCAGATGGCTTCTGCCCCACTTCAGCCTCCCTGTTTGCTTTGGGACTGCTTCAGGTACTTGAGGATGTCAGACCTCACCGTGCTGACTGGAGCCTTGTGGAACCAGTGCACGACAGGGATTACATCTGGCCCCACCAGGAACTTCTCAAAGTTCCATCGGATGTCATGGACTCTGATGGGATCCCAGGAGATATGTTTGAATGAGCCCAAAAGCTCAGGGGAGTGAGGACAAGAGTGCCGAAGCAGAGTCAGGAAGAAGAAATACCACTTCTGTCCCTGAGGACCCCAGACATTTCCCCTACAGATAACCCACTCCCTCCTGTTCCTAGACAGAGTTAACTTCTGGTGACTCCTAGTAAACCCCATACATTCTCCTAAGCACTGCCATGACAACTCCTAGGAATGCTGTGGATATCCCAGCTGGCTCTGCTCCCCACTGCTGTCCCTGCCATGAGGCCGGCACAGTCAAGCCTCTGTGGTCCGAGGGGTTGCCCTGGAACCTCTACATTTCCTTTCTGTAAAGTGAGCAGCTTACAATTACACACAGGTGGCTACCCTGGCCTGAAGGTTTCATGAGTCAGGAGCATTTCAGTATCATTTGGGGACAATAAGAAAAATATTAAACACCATCATTCCATCACTTAACTTTAAAAAGAGCATCTTAAGAATAAATGACAAGGGCTAGCGGTTTAGCTCAGTGGTGCTGCCACCTGCCTCACAAGTACAAGGTTCCGAGTTCAATCCCCAGTACCAAGAAAGAATAAATGACAAGCCGCTCATACCCTGTGGACAAGTGAGATGAGTTTGTCTATGAAATCCTCTCTAGAGGGCTCTATTTTCTTCTGGTTACTGTGAATATATAAATTGCTAACGTGGCCTAGTCTCTGTGCACAGTCCTGCATTTAGCAACAGTTCCCTCTGGTGACCTTTAGGGTCCTTTCAGCCCTGGTTTTCTCTAGTCTGCAAATCAGTGTTCATAAACATGCTACTACATCGTGTCATCCCTACCCATACTGAAGCTTTCCCAACCTTCCTGTCATCTAGGGCAGGAGCGCTGCCTCACTCCTCCAGGTCACTGCTCTGCCTGCCTTAGAGTCAGAGGCTCTTAGATGTCCCTAGTGGATGGCTGGGTGCCAAAGCGCAAGAGCGCCTCAGAACAGCCGCCCCCCACAGCTGTCTCCCCACTCAAAGCAGAGCCCTGGGACGTAGAACTGAACCCAAGTCCCTGTGCTGACCTGCAGATCCCCTCAAGGGCCCGCCTCCAACCAGCTCTGTGCTAGGAACATTTGGGAAAAGGAGGAGGCTTGGTCCAGTGATCACTCACCTTCAGGAAGGTGAAGATTTTCTGTTCTTTTTCACCATTCACGTCCCTTCTCAAAAAGCTGGAAATTAGGTAAGAATCCTCCCCCTGGACGGACGTGCCTGCATGCACACCGCATCCAGAAGCCTCAGGTGGCCGACAGGGTTGTGACCAACGAAGAGTGGGAGGGGCGAGAGGGCTCGAGGGTGAGGTCACTGCAGACTTTGTCCAGCGGTTCCTGGCCCTCGAGCATCTGGCTTCTGTCCAGGTGCCGCTGTCCCGTCCCCCCACGGCCTCCCCAGGCTCAGCCAGGCTCGGCAAGGCGAGGTGCAGCACCTCTGGACACCGGGCCCTTGCAGAGGTGGCTTGAACCCGGCTCCAGCCGACCGGGAGGTCCTGGGGACGGGGAGGGCACATGGGAGCCACTCACTTGAGCCCAGGTAGGATCTCGCTGTTGTCCCCCCGGCTCCTGCTTTGCAAACTGGTTGCAGGGAAAGCCCAGCACCACCAGGCCAGAGGGTTTCAGCTCCTCCTGGAGCGCGTTCAGCTCTGCAACGGGATAAGCGACAGATGAGGCCTGGTCTAGCGGCCCTGCTCTGTGCAGAGAAAGACCAGGGCGCTCATTGCCAGAGGACAGAGGCTCCAAAGGGACAGGAGCCTGCGAGTCGCAGTGTGACCCCAGGTGTCTGGACCCACCTCGGAGCCCTGGGCCCTCAGCCGCTGGCGCCGCTCAGTCGCTGAGGACTCTGGGTCAGGCACCGGGACGCCCAGGTCCTGTTACAGGGGCTCCAGTTCCCTTCCCCTAGGACCACCCCAGCTCCCTGTGGGCAAAGGCAGGTGACCCTCACCACAGGACATTCGCCCCTGGTTGCTTCTGTGATCGACTGGACCTCGCTTTTCTAAAGGGGGAGACGGGGCTCGGGCAGTGAGTCTCTCGTGGCGCACACAGAGTGCAGCCAGGGAGAACCCAGGGCCGCAGCTGGGCCACTCGCTCTTCAGTGCTGCGACCACTTGGCACTCTGGGCCATGAAGCAGAGCAGCAGCTTCAGCTGCCTGCCTCCCTGCGGCACTGACAGCCACCTTCTCGGTGACCTTCAGGCTGGAAGCCTCGGTCCTCTGGCAGAACCAGCCCAGCCGCACAGGGGCTCAGCCTGCTGGCAGCTCCGTTTAGTCCTGCGTGCACGGTAGAGGCCATTTTCCAGTGTCCACATGGTCCTCAGAGCCCCGAGTCCCCTCCTGTCCTCAGCCCTGCAGCTCACACCGCCTCAGAGTAGAGGCAGAGGGAGCCCGGCCACTGTCCCTCACCTGCTGTGCACTCAGGAAATCTGTGCCATCTCTAAAGACTGAGAGGATGAATTATGGGCCACTGAATATGAGTCAGTCTTTAAAGAACGAGGAAATAGACTGAGCTCAAAATATTCATGTAAAAACACAGAGCAAACTGTATTTACTGTATGTTAGGGACTGGGGAAAGCAGAAAGAAAATCTATATTTTATAAACCTGATATTATTTGTATAAAATGAAAGTCAGGAGGTGGAAAGACTTGACTCCAAGTCTTTTTGTTCTTCGGAATTTTGAGCTTGTGAATACATTACTTCTACCAGACACAACACAATTAAAAACACAGCAGTTCTTATTTTCAAATACGTGAAGCACACCAGTCTCGGTCCCAGCTATGTGGTTGCGAAGCCAGGCCGGGCGGATGGGTGCTGTGCGCTACAGTCTGACGGCAGTGAGTGAAGCTGATCGACTCCGAGTGCTCGAGTAGAATACAATTACGAGCGTGGTTTGGGGCGGAACCAGCCGAAAAACTTAGTCCCCCGACGTGAGGTCCAGACTTACCAGGGTACTGGGTGGTCAGGCCGCAGACAGTGGCCACGTCGACGCGGAGGACGTGCGTGCCCGAGGACTGCGTGGACCGCACGCGCTCCCTCCCGGGCAGCGTGACGCCTCGTAGCTGAAGGCGGTGCCTTTCACGTCTTTGTAGCAGTCCATCTGGAAGGCGATTCAAGATGACACCATCAGGAGCAGCAGGTCCTGGCGCCTGCGTAAACTCGCAGAGGACTCAGAATACTACAGGTGTGAACTCAAAGACAAACTAGAGTTGTCTAAGGGATCGAAGGCAAGAATGAAACCTAGGACTTGTGACTTAAAATCTGACGAGTTTTTGAGGGAAAACCTGGCCAGTCGTGCTTCCTCTCTCGCTGGCAGAAGCAGTGCTTGTGTGAGTGGGAAAGAAACGAGCTCTCTCTGTGGGCTGGTGCCGCGGGAGGAGCAGGCGGTGGGGGGCCGCCTGGAGGAAGCCGCTGCCTGGCCTCTCAGAGAAGGTGCCTCAGGGCGATGAAAGCGCCTCAGGGTGGCCTTGCTGCCGCTCTCCCGGGGCCCCTGACTTCCTACCCACGTGACAACTCCAGCCTGGGCTCTGAGGCCAGACCTTGCGTCATTCCCTGCACAAGCACGGCACCCCTTATCCAGGACCTCGGTTTCTGCATGAGTGAAACGCAGCTGTTCATCTAGATTCCGCTTAGGACCTTCAGTAGCCTCCAGGCTTAACATGCTAGTGTCTGGCATTCCTCCTCCCCTCTGCCTCTTACGCACGTGGATGCCAAACCCCCGAAGCCCCATGTCTGTGTTGTGCCAGAAAAGACCATGGGCAGCTGCAGAGCCTGCATGAGGTCGCCCCACCCAGCGGCAACCAGGCCGCCACACAGCTGTGCTCCAAGTGCCTGGATCTGCTCTGCCATGAGCTCTGCGTCTCCTGCTCCTTCGCGAACATCCTGACAGACTGAACAGGTATCGCACAATGGAAATAAGTTCTACCCCAAATTCGCGCTGCAGTTCTCCTGTTAGATTCCGCCCCTCAGCAGGCCCCGTCTCAGTCCTCCCAGCTCCACCCTTGCAGGACCCCCTGGTACCAAGGCCACCGTGCCCGCCGTGTGGTCCTTTCCCCAGGCTGGGGAGCTCCTGGAACACAAGGAGTGTAAGATAGGAAGGATGAGAAGAAGCCACATATCCTCACCATCTTGAGAGCAAAAGGTAGAGGCATGGGTGCAGAGGAGAGACAAAGGCATTCTCCGGTCAGAGAGGTCCAGACTTAAAGACTAATCTTGACTTCTTGGAAATGGGGTGGCAGGAAAGGATTTTAGGGCTGGGGATGTAGCTGAGTGGTTCCTGTGCCTTCCTTGAAAGCTCAAGGTCCTGAGTTCGATCCCCCATACCAAAAATAAAAATAGAAAGATAAAAAGGAAAGGATTTTAGCCAGGCGCCATCTGCCCCCACCGAGAGAAGGAGGAATACAAAGTCAAACTTGCCTTTTTTCTCCCTAAATCTCACTGGTTCTATCACCATCATACAGACTGCAGCCATTCAGCCCATCGCTGGGGAGAAAGCGTTTCCTCCATTTGATTCGGTGCCCTCCCTAAATGCACGCACATCTACAGGTGCCGAACCCTGAGGTGTGAGAGGAGAGCATTACCATGGGGCCTGGTTCCAAGTTAAGCTTGTTTTTTTTTTCCCCGGTACCGGGGATTGAACTTAGGACCTTGTGCTTGCAAGGCAGGCGCGGTGCCACTGAGCTAAGTCCCCGGCCCCCAAGTTAAACATTTTTACAAATCTGCCTTTTCTGCACTTGCTTGCTTTTTGCCTTGCTGCTGGGTGAAAATCATGTTGAGAACCAGGAGCCAAGTTCCTGGAGGGAGCCTGAGCTTGCAGTCCCCTCCTACTCTTTTACTCCTGACGCAATGCTGCTCGCAGTCAGCACCTCAGGCGCAGCTTTCACCGTCAAATTCTGAGTCCAGCGTCTCCAGACCCAGCTGCACAGCACTGGACAACACAAAGACGGACTCGATTCCAAAACTACGGAGTCATCCAGGAAGCTTTCTAGCCCATTTCAGAGTGGGCTGCCGATCTTGACAGAGCTGCCATTGTGCAGTGTATTATATGCATAGCACCTGTTGCTCCCCCGTGAGCTAGAGATGTTACCCATAAATAAGTGATCCTGCGCTGGGCCTGGGCACGGCGTGGGAGAGGCCAGTGCCACAGTGATGAGAAGAATTTACCAGTAGTGGGGAAGCACAGAGGAGTGGAGAGTTTCCTGCAAGAGAGTAGAGGTGGCCCAAGAGCGGGCCAAGCCGCGACCCCTTTGCTCCATGCTGGCCGGTCCTTTCCCGGCGCCCCTCTCGGGACATTATGTTGGGAGAGGACCTGAGCCACAAATGGAATTGAGCTGCAGCCAGATTCCAGGCAGCTGGCATCAAGCCCAGTTGTTTTAAGTCCCTGATTATTCTTTCCAAATACTTTATGTTACCCTGATAACTATTACTTATTCCTAAGACTTGCACGTTGATGGTTGTTCTTCTTGCTGGGTGTCTGTAAACCAGGAGCATGAGTCTGGGGTGAGTCGGCCCAGCCTCCCTGAGCCATGGTCCCCGCATCTCCGGTGTCCCCAGCCATCCGGCCCGGTGCTCCAGAGTGCCCGGTACTGACGCGTCTGGAGGGAGCTGCTGCTTGGTGGAGGAGGAGAGGAAGGAGCACAGGAGGGAGGCCCTTCCATCACTGCCCACGTCCAACCCAAGGGACACCTGTTCACGGGAGAGAGGGAGATTTGGGAGAAGAGGAGACAGGCCTAGGGACCGCAAGTGAGACGGGGAAGGAAAATAAGGCAGCTAGAAAGGAGACAAGGAAAATTGTAATTCTTCAATTGTGCTTTTAATAAAAGCTGCAAGTGGAAGACACAAACCCAGGCGAAACTTCCTGAGGTCCTTGGAGTCACGGGGGCCTGGGCCCCTCCTCTCCGCCTGCAAGCGAGCCTTTCCCCAGGTGGCTGCTGCGTCCTCTGCAGCGGCTGTCATCTGTGCAGCTGTCACCCTCCACGCTGGGTGGGCGCCACCCTTCAGCTGTACCAGGAGCCCTCTGCGTAGTCATTACCTACAGGTTTCCACCCCAGCCCCCTCAAATGTGCCCGCTCGAGGACACGCCTGCCCTCCCCAGCCCACACCCGATTTTCTTTGAGTACTTTTCAGTTCTGCCTGGTGAGCCTCTTACTGATGCATCTTGAGAACTCTTTTCTGTGACAGAAGCCAGCAAACCTGCCACTGTCGCCTGGGCAGGGTGAGGTAGCTCCCTGTCTCCCCTGTGGAGCCCTCCATGCGCCTGGCAGGTGATGCAGAGAGAAAGCAAGCACAGGTTGGAATCCTGCATGAAGGAGAGGGGGAAGGAAGACTGCTCCTGCCCCCCAAGGCCCTCCTGCTGAGCTCACCCACCTTCATCCTCTCCGGCATGAGGTCTGGCTGCACGAGGCCAGCCAGAAGGAGAGGGAAGAGACAGGAGGCTGTCGCCCTCGGAGTCCTGACAGTACTGCAGCCTGAGGGAGGGCTGGATATCTATGCCGAGGCGACACTGGCCAGCCAATAACAGGGCTGCTGAGGGAGAGGACAGCCACAGTGCTGCCCACGCCCCCCCACGGGCACTCAGCCCCACCGGTGTGGCGCGGACCCAGGGCCAGGTCAAGTCTGGCAGAATTACAGGGAGGTGAGGGTCTTGACGCAGCCACTCCTTGGCCTTGGGCTCTTTGTGCCCCTGATGAAGGAATTCAGTCAAGACATTGGTGTGCAGAAGTCAGGGTAGAATCCACTGTAAAACAGAGAGAGAGACAGAGAGAGAGACAGAGACAGAGAGAGACAGAGACAGAGAGAGGGAGAGAGACAGAGAGAGACAGAGAGCTGTGCCTTGAGCAAGAAAGCAGGCACCAGCTTGAGACTGGACATCTTTTTATGCACATAGAAGTTGCTCCAAGGCACAGGGAACTGGGATAATTACAATGCTTACAGATATTTTTACCTACAAGTCACCTTGGAGTTGCAAAGTAATTTCCTGTCCTTTTTAGATGGTCAGTGATTTCTCAGAGGCTTTGTGTAAGAAACCTACAAAGATAAGTTCTTAGTTTAAAGCAGGTCCCAGCCAAAGGCGGGAGGGCTTTAAAGGGCACCTCCTTTCCTGATATAGCCTGGTTGTAGCTACCGCACCCAGGAACGCTGTGCGCCTTCTCTGGGGTTAGGTGGCCAGCAGGTCGGGTCCAGGGCTCTGCCAGCGAGAAGCCCTGAAAGCCGCTGCGCTCTGTGGGTCACTTTGGGTCTGAGAGCTAAGAAATGATGACACATGCATTATACACTGAGGTTTTTCTTCCTCCACTGGCAGCACATGCTGTTCGGGACCCTCCCTGCTTCGTCCCTCAGGCCTGCTGAGGTCTAGCTGCCTGCCTAACAAGCTCGAGCCCTCCTAGGTCCCCGAAGACCTGGCGCGCTCTCCGGAGTGGCGGGCGCCTGGCTGCAGGTGCGGGCTCTCGGATGTCCCAACGCCACGCTTGGGCTGCGGTGGACTCAGTGGGACAGCCTGTGCCTGACACGCCTAAGGCCCTGGCGGAAGAGGAAAAGTACTGCTGTTCTGCTAGAACAACGAAAGTCGAGGCCGGACCCTTGGGATCCCCGAGAGGCGGGAGGACGCGGGGAGGCGTTCACAGCGCAGGAGGCGGGCATGTCGGCGCACTCCTTGCACGGTGCTTTCAGGCTTAGGTCAGAGAGGAAAGCCAGGCTCAGTGAGAGCTGAGTCGGGCTCGAGAGTCCAGGCTCTCCCAGCGGGGCTGTCTCTCCGCCCTCCTCCTCCCCTCGACACAGCCACCCGGCCCTAGCAAGGGGAGTTTCCGGAGAACCAGACTTGCAGCATTTCTTTGATGAGGCGCCCACAGCCTGGCTGAACCCACAGGCGCACAGCTTTGGCCCTGCCCGCCCACAGATTGGGGTGTATCTGTGCAATTTGCCCAAACTCTTAAACTCCCTTTTCCGTGCTTACGGCTTTTCTCAAACTCAGACTCCTGATGGTGGACAGGAGGATGAATCCAGATAGGCAGGGGCCAGATGCAGGCCTCTGGCCGGGCTCCTAGTGACAGGACCCACAGGCAATGGGCAGCAGACAGGAAACCAGGCGGCCTCCATCTATGGTAGGATGCTGTGTTCTCTCACACCGATGACCAAGGAAGTATGAGTAACAAGACCCTGCCTGCCCTTATCGGATTGGCACCAGTTGAAAGGAGTGGGTGGCTGGAGCACTCAGAGCGGGTAACATTGCCAGCTTCCTGTGGGCGACCTCCCAGTCTGCATGCAGTGCCTCTGAAAAGGAAATATCTTCTTTGAACTTTTAATTCGGAAGCAGTGATAAATCTATAGCAAGTTGAGCTCTCCTCTTAATTTTCTAGAAGTCTGAAGGCCCAAGAAAAATCATGGCAGTGAGACGTAAGAGTGAAACTCCTTGTCTCTGCGGGATAGAGTCCCTGCCTGGTCAGCAGCAGTTCCCAGCTACTGCTCAGAGTCCTTGGAACAAATGAATGGATAAGTGCAGACCTGGGGAACTGCTGGGCCCCTCTCTCACATAAAGGGCACATTCAGTCCTCTGCAACCTCCCTCCACCGTGTCTGTACTCCTTTGTCTACGGAGACAGGCAGGTAGTCAGATGCTGGCAGCACCCAGCCAGTCCAGAATACTGTACTTTGCCAGTTAGAATTAAGTAGAGAAACAAAGACTTCAACACATAATACACATAGGATCATTTGTTAGATGACAGATAAAGACACAGGCCTTCTATTTCTAATCAAGGGGATATCAGGAAAGGACACATTCCGAAAAGACCCTCCCATCCCGGGCAGGAACCTGGTTTAAACTAAGAACTTCTGTTTCATAAATCTCCTTTCTAAATTTCTGGAGGGATTAAGGCCCCTGAGGGAACAATGACCACCTAGAAAGGCCAGAAAGACATGTTTGCAATTCCAAAGTCACATCTAAGTAAGGCCTGACAAGCACTGTCATCACCCCATTCCAGGCTCCCTCGAGCAACAGGGTCCAGACAGGCTTCCCTTCCAGGCAGATGCCACCTTCTCACTCGGAGGCCTAAATCTCCCTAGATCCACTCTGCAGTGGACGCTACCACACTGCGGCCCAGCCACCTGTGTGTCTCAACTGAACTCACAATTCTAGTGCACACGGGTCCAAAGAGCCTCGAGGGGCCGATTCCTCAGTGGTCAGGACCTGGTTTCTGGTGACACCTCCCCTACTCCCTAATTCCTTTGCTTCCCACCTCCACATTCCCTCCCTTATCACACAGGTGCATTAATGCTTAATGCATACACTGTTTGGATGCTCAAAAACTTGGATATTCCCCATCAGATTATTAGCTCCTTGAATTTCAAAAATGACTCATATTTTCCCACTGGGACCTCATTTCAAAGAGTTGAGTTCAACTCTTAAACTTGACTTTGTCATCATTAGGCCGTGCAAAGATTGTCTTACTGTATTAATTTAAATCAACAAAACAAAACACAATGGTGCCTCCAGTCCACACCCGGAGAGCACAGGTTGGAGGAACTGGATGTCACAGAGCTGACAGTGGGCAGCCTTCATCATGGAGCCTCAAAGCACGCAGGACACGGTGCCTGGGAGGTGGGTGTGGGTGTGGGTGGTTGCTGGCTGCTCCTGATGCCTGGGAGCCACAGAAAGGGGTGCACCCAGCACTGGGCCAGGCTCTGGGAGACAACTCACAGCAACACCAAGCCATCCTCAGTCGGTAGCTTGTTCCCTGAGCCCCACTCCCCACACGCAGGTGATGGCCAACTCCGTCCCGGGTCTGAGCCTCTCCCATGTCCCCACTACAGCCTGGCCAGTCCTCAGGATGACCTGCCACTGTGCCTCGAGGCCCAGGAGCCTAGGTGTGGGCAGCTCCGCTGGAGGAGCTGTTTGTCAGCCCGGGTTTCAGGTGTCTTCCGGGGAGGCCTCTAAGCTGGGGGAAGCTGCTGGCAGTGCCACTGGGCCATCCGGAGCACCTGGCCTTTGGGACTCTGCAGGCCTGCTGGGCACCTGGCAGGGGGGTGGCTGCCCTGTCCTCCCAGCTCAAAAACAAGGTCTGTGAATCTCCCCGTCCTCCCCAAGGGCTGTGACCCTGGGTAAACCGCTCTCTGTGAATCTGGACAGGTATATGAACTCCCTCGGGTGATTTAAGAAAACAAAGGAGATGAATCATTCATATCTGGGCCTGGACCAAAGCAAGCAGCTTTCATCATGATGGAGAAGTTGAGGCTCAGGTGGAGAAAATGGCTTGCCTGACTCTGCTCAGAGCTGTCAGGATCGAGCCCCACTCCTCCTTCGGGGCTGTGCATCCCTGTCTTTCCTGCGCGTCCTGCTGCAGTGCACGTGAGCTGCATGCAGCCCGCTGACCAAGCTAACATGGCAGTGACGTCACCAGGCGACCCGAGCCTGCGGGACCACTGTCCTATACACGTGGTCCCCTGTGGACAGAACGACCCTCATGTGTGTGTGTGTGTGTGTGTGTGTGACTCAGTGTGTGTCATATAATTGGAGAGGATGAGGAACTCCCCCTGAAAGGACAAGGAATGTGATTTTAACAAATTTTACCAAACCAGATTTTGGTGGAAATGCTCATGTCCTGAGCCATATGTCAAAGCAGAAAAACCAATCTCGGTCTAGGCTGAACCAGGAGGCCTGCCACTTCTTGATTTTAAAATGCCTTAATTAAAAGATTTCATGACCTTAAACATGGTGGAAGTGGGCACAGTGGTGAATGCCTGTAATCCAGCACTCTGGAGACAAGACGATCTCAAACTGCAGCCACTGTGGTAAAAGGAGGCAGGGATGAAGCTCAGTGTGGAGGCTCTGGGTTAAAAAAAAGTGCTTTTTGGAGGTTAAGTGGGGAGGTGGAGAGGACAGTGTGCCCCGAGGCAGTGCTTCCATTAGCTCTGCCTCAGCGGGCTGCCGTGTCCTCGCCCAACTACAGGAATTTAGCTAGCCCACAGCGTCCCACCCAGACGCAAGTGAAGGCTTGGGGAGGGAGGTTGTGAAGAGAGGAACAGAGAGACAGAGAGACAGAGACAGAGACAGAGAGGCAGAGAGACAGAGAGACAGAGACAGACAGAGAGACAGACAGAGACAGAGGCAGAGACAGAGAAGGAGGAGGAAGAAGAAAAGGAGAAGGAACAGGAGAATGGGGAGGAGGGAAAGAGAGAACTCTGCAACAACTCTGTGCTGCTGTGCTCCGCCCCTCAGCCCATGTGGTCCAGACCCAAGGGTGCCTGAGGTGCCCATGGCAGGCGAGGGTGCTTCTTCGGAGACATTGGTCCCCACCAAGTCTCCATTAGTCCTTCCAGATTGATAAGCGACCCACAGAGCTGGCTCTTCAGACTGTTTCTGCATTTCCCCGAAAATAAGACCTAGACAGAAAATAAGGCCTAGGATGCTGTTTAGGGTGCTCGTAATATAAGCCCTACCCTAACAGAAGATCATCAGCCAGATGGATGTATTTAGTACATCCTCTGCAACACATGATGGTTGGATTGAAGTATAATAATAATGACACATAATTAAATTTAATATTATTGACATTAATACTTAAATAAATTAAAATATATAAACTATATTTGTAAATACTCAAGTGGACACCTTTGGATGCCCGGTATGTTTACCTATGTAAATAGACAGACTCAAGACTTGCTGGACCGGGGATTTAGCTCAGTGGTTTTGCTGCCTGCTGCGCAAGCACAAGGACATGAGTTCGATCCCTGGTACCAAAAAAAAAAAAAGACCTACTGCCAATGACCCAGACACAACACATGAATTACATTCACACTTGATAAAATGGACATGGCCGTGTCTAATACGTCTTCATAATCCAATACATCGTAGATTATAATGCACATACTTAAAGCACTCGTGTGAAATAAAAGTTTCCTGAATTTTTGTGCCTGCAATTTTTTGCCACTTTTGCATGGACCATCGTTCCTGGGTGTCATCACTTTTGTTGTCACTCCTGTCTCATAAATCTTCGATTAACACTTGATTTAATGGAAATGTTGCGAAGCCCAGCCTGCAAGAGGTAGTGACTTGGGTGAAGAATTAGTGGGATAAAAACCACTATGAAGGCTGGGGATTTGGCTCAGTGGTTTTGCTGCCTGCTGTGCAAACACAAGGACCTGAGTTCGATCCCCAGTACCAAAAAACAAAAACAAACAAACAAAACCCACTATGAAAGTGCATTGGCTTCTTGCACAAGAAGTACTCCAGTCTGTTGCTGGGTACGAGAGATTGGGCTCGACAGGAAATGGAGTCACAAGAAATTCAGGCCAGAATTCGGGGTTTGGAGAGTTATGACAATGTTCCGGAAGATGACATGACTGTATTTGAATAATGCAGAATTTTATATATGAAAAAATAAGACATCCCCTGAAAATAAACCCTATTCCATCTTCTGGATCAAAAATTAATATAAGACCCAGGCTTATTTTTGGGTAAATGCAGTACACAGATTTTCAAAGGACTGATCTCATAGAAGCAGAGTACAGCGGCGGTCACCAGAGGTCGCTGGCTAGTGTGGGTCCTCCTTCAGTGAGCATGGAAATTAACACTGAGGCAACACCAGGGATTTACAGCCAAGCTTTAATTGGAAAGTTACAGAGAATAAGAAGGGACTTTGGCTTGAGGGGGAGAAAAGTCAAGGATGAGATGGTCCCTTGACAAAGGAGAGTGAGAGCAAACAGAGGGAGGACTTCAGCTCCTGACAAAGGAAGCCAGGCTGGCCTGTCCGAAGAGGAGCAGCCCGCCACAGAGGGGTGCTGAGCAGGCCAGGGCCTGCTGATCACTGCCTCGGTCTGGTTTGCAGCTCCAGTGAAATCCTTCTCACTGTGGGGACAGCTTGGTCTCTGTGAGGTGGCTGTGTCTTCCGGGGCTGTCTCCACTCTGAGGAGGCTCTGCTGGAATCCATGGTGACAGCAGGTTCAGGCAAAGACTGGAGATGTTTAGGCCTCTGCTCCAGGGGCTGGCGCTGGTGGTGAATCTCTCAGTATCTTGCTTTGGAGTCCTCCTGGAGGGCATGAGACAGGTTCTGAAAGTTCAGGGCTAATTAACCTCACTTCTCCAGGTTTAGACAGGCACTGCCTAATGACTAACTCATTAGAGCTGAGTGGGAACCTGACCAAAGCCTTGAGTAATAAAGGAGACAGTTACAGAGCGAAGCAAGGAAGCCAAGCTCTACCTTGTGTGCAGCTCCTCTGGACAGCTGCAGGCCCAGTGGAGGCCACTGTTTGTTGCTGTTGTTGATTTTTAGTAAAAGCGGCGTTCAAATCCCCGACTGCTTCAGAAGAAGACACGAATCACCCTTGCAGTGATGGATGGCCTAATAGCTGGGAGTTTGCTATCATTTGTCCTTTAGTGATGGTCCCCACCAGATCTCTCATCCAGTTTATTCTTGGAGACACTGTGGTGGAGGCATCTTGATTTTAATGATGCACCTGATTTTTGAGATCCATAAATTTGTTTTTGGAGTGTGAAAGGGGGCAGGCCGTACTTCTAACGGGTCCCAGGACTGCACCTGCCCTTTGTTCCCAGGCATCTCCACCTCTGTCTCAACCTGACCAGGGTGGTTATGGTGAAGCTTGGAACAGGTTGGTCAGGGATTACAACACAAGGTTAGGCCTTAAGCAGAGATTCAGGGGATGCACTGTGCAACTTGGGGACTGTAATTAACGACACACTGTGTTCTTGAAAAACTGCTAGGTGTAAAGTGTTCTTACTGCAAAAATGGTAACTCGTGAATTAATGCATGTTAGATTTAGTCATCCCACAGTGTATATGTACTTCAAAAGAATATATTGCACATGGCACATACAAATAATTTTGTCCATTTAAAACATAAATTAGAATGGGGTATGGTGGCACATGCCTATAATCCTAGCACTGTAGGAGGCTGAGGCAGCAGGGTCACAAGCTCAAGTCCAGCCTGGGCAACTTAGTTAAGGAGACCCAGTTTCAAAATGAAAATAAGCAAATAAATAAAAAGGGCTGGGGAGGTGCCTCAGTGTGAAGGCCGTGAGTCCAGCCCCCAGCACTTCAGAAACCAATGAGAGGAAGGCAGATGGAAGGAAAGGCTGCGACGCCTTGCAGGCAGTCCCAGCCCAGAACCGCCCTCGGGCCTCCCTCCTACCAGGAAGCCGAGATTGCAGACCGGGCCCAGCAGATAATCCCGGATAATCCCACCTTCAAATCCTTATCTTAATCTCACTGCAAATTCTTCGCCACATAAGATAACATTTCCAAGGCCAGGGATCAACGCGGGATGTCGGTGGGGGCCGTTACCCACCCACTGCAGACAGGGAGGCCCGGGGTGGCAGGAGAACACGCTTGCGTGCCAGCCCCAGCTTCACATGTCATGTGGCTGCAAATCTGGGGAAGTAGTTACTTCTTCTCTGTACTGATGTGGTCACTTACGGAATGGAGAGAACATTAAACTTGCGGTTATTCCAGTGATGAGATGAGAAAGCGGGCCTGGCGCGCAGCGAGGAGGGACCCGCGCCTTCTGACCCCGTCCTGCCACCCGCGCTTTACCCTTCCTCCTTCCCCACTTCTCCTCTCCTCCCATCCTACCTCTTGGGCCAACTGCCCCAACTCCACCTGCTCCTGTGAACTTCTGCGTATCCAGCCATGGCCCAGGGACCTGCAGTCGTGGCCGAGAAAGGCTGGGAGCTGCGGGCCCCCGGGCCAGAGCCTGGCATCGACCCTGGGCAGCGAGAGGCGGCGAGCAGTCGGGCTTCCCGCCTCCTCCCGGGGCCCCAGCTCGACCTGGCCGCGAGGACACCGGCCAGTCCGCCCTCCACGCTGTGCCCCTTCCTTCCCACAGCTGAGCTGCGGAGGCTGAAACGCCTGGGCCTACAACTCCAGGGGTTGCGAGCCACGGCTCCCGCGTGCTGGTCTCGCAGTGAGAACCGGGAGACCGAGGGGACGCACAAGGCCGGCGGGGCGGGGCGGGGCGGGGCCGGGGAGGGGCGGGTCCGAGCGGAACCCGTCCCGATTGGCCGGCGCTCGCCCGCGGGGCTCTTAAGGGCAGCGCCCGCCCGGCCCTTGCGCACTCCGAGTTTAGCCATGCGCCCTGTTTTCTCCGCCGCAGGCCTCGGCCTCCTCCCGCTGTTCCTGCTGGGCCTCGCGCAGGAGATGAAGGTGGGTGTCGCCGGCTCCAGCTAGGGCCCCCGGAAGGATGCGACCGCCTGCGCGCCCTTCTTCGCGCCCTGCTGCCTGGCTGTCCACGACAGAGACTCTCCTGCCTCAGCGGACTGGCCTACCCATCCCCTGTGCCTCCCGCTGGGTCTGGCTGGGCGGGAGAGGGCTGCTGAGGGCGCAGCCGGACGCAGCGGGCTTCAGCCCTAAAACCAGGAGGGGCGCTCGGAGGGCAGCGGCAGAACGATTCCGCGGCGTTTCCCTGCAGCAGCCGGCGGCGGGTGCTGGAGTCAGGCGAGAGGCTGCCGGCGAGGCCCAGCCGTCCCAGGGAGCTTCCCAGCTGATGCTTCCAAGTCCTTCACCCAACACATTGCGCGGGAGGGTGGATCGGGGCGCGCTGGGAAGCGGCCTCCTGTCCTCGTGGTGTCCTGGTAACAGAGCTCACGGGAGGCGACGCGGCCCGCCCCCCACTCTGCCCCAGGCCGAGCCTTCCCCGGGTGGGACAGGCTCTCTGGGCTGTGAGCCTGGGAGGCCCGCTTTAAAGTACTGAGCGGCTCTGACTTCTCCATGCCGCTGGGAACCTGGGAACCGGCCCTCACCAGATGACAAATCTTAGCCCCTGGGCCCCAGTCCTGCCTGCCTTTCTCTCCTCGTGCTCAGAAGTGAAAGGTTTTACCCTTCTGTGCCTTCTATTGGATAGTCCCCAGTTCACGAGCCGTCCGTCCGGCTGTTTCTCCCAGTGTAGGAGTGAGAGAAGAGAGCATCTAGGACCAGCTGTGCAGGGCCCTTTGGAGGGATGGGGCAGGAGCAAGCTGGGGCCTGGCCTTGGGGAGACGAATCCGTGTTAAGGACGTGGAGACCAGGAATTTGAGAAACTGCAGTAATCTAAGAATATTGGGAAGGAATAGGATGGCTAGGGTGGGGTGCAGGCCTGGGGAGGGCAGGCAACATCTAGGTGGATGCAGACGACTCCCACCACCCTCGAGGTGTGGGGTGTGTTAGGAAATGCTTGTCCTGCCACACACGTAAGACTGCATGCAAATCAGAAGACATAAAGTCTGTGGCATCAGCTCTAACTAAAACTTTTCTTTGAAAAGGTCCCTTCGATCCTTAGAATTTCTTTCTTTTTTTGGTATCAGGAATCGAACTCAGATCTTGCACTCTCAAGGCAGGAGGCAGCACCACTGAGCTAAATCCCCAGCCCTAGAATTTCAAGATATTATACGAAGAGTCCTTGAGTGTGTCAAAAGCTCTTCAGCGTTTGGAATTACTATGTGTCTGGTCCCCTCATTATAGCTGCTTTTGTTCTGTTCCAGACGGATTGCAACAAAGCTGTGCCAGGCACCATTTATGAGTACGGAGCCCTGACCCTCACCGGCGAGGAATATGTCCAGTTCACGAAGTACTCGGGCAAGCATGTCCTCTTCGTCAACGTGGCCACCTATTGTGGCCTGACCGCCCAGTACCCTGGTAGGAGCACAGGCCTGACTCTTTAGGAACCAGGACAGCCAGATACCATACAGTTCCAGGAGGTTTTACCAAAGTGTCCATGGAGTGAGTGAGCAGTGATGTAAGCAGTGACATGACACTGTCACCCTAAATCTTGCTGCTGCTCTTCTTATGATTCTGGAATTGTCGCCAGATTGAGAACGAAATCTTCCCAAAGATTTGGTCAAAGGCCACTAGGAAACATTCCCACCCCCCAGCTGAACAGGTTGAATATGCTGCTCAATACCATTAGGAAGATGTACACTGTAGGGAACCACGGGGCATCTTGGAAAGTGCTGGAAAGGAGTCACTAGAGTCTGAGCTTGCACTGGGCAATTTGGGGAGGGGATCAAGGAATTGAGGCTTTGCTTTGGGTTATGTTGTAGTCAGGGTTTGCAAGGGAATAGATTTAATACAGGACACATAATTTACAGTATTTTATAGTATTCACCCAAAAAGTCAAATGCAGAGAGGTGTGCAAGAGATCTGACAACATGCCACAGACCTGAAGAGTCCAGGCGAGGGCCTGGATCCCAAGGCAGTGTCCCACATAAGTTCAGCTGAAGGTCTAGAGCCCAAGGCAGTGTCCTCCATGAGTCCAGACAGAGGACTGGCTTCTGCATGAAAATCAACAGCCCATGAGCTTCCCCTCCAGTTCTCTTTTTATGCCCTTGGCAACAATCCTCAGGTGGGCCTTCCGTGCCAGGAACCACAATGACTCAGTTCAGCTGGGCGTTCCAGGTCGACCATTAGTCCAGCACAGGTTAGCTGCTGTCAGGAGCTAAAGAAATGGGGGTGATCATGTGATTGGGCATCACAGCAAGTCATATCTATGAGGCAGGGATGCACAGCAGGGCTATAGCTGTAACTGCTGAAGAGGCATCAGTCACTCGCATTGGCAAGGGCAGCGCTTGGTCATTGTGATGCAGACAATGCGAGTATTTTCACATGAATGTTATGTTCATGTTTTTCTGTATTCAGAACAAATTACAGAGTGGTCTTGTTTTAGCCTGGGTTGATCATGGTGGCATCTTGTGTGACACTGATGTCCCAGCAAAGTCTAGACAGCCACGTGGGAGCTTCCTGAGAGTGGTGGAGAGCTGCTTGAGTTTGTGGCCTGGGATTCCTGAGTGATGGAGATTTGGTGTCCTGCTGAGAGGGCTGACAAGAGGGAGTCCAACACTGCAGCCAGACATGGGGAAGGAGGCGACCATGTCCATCTTGTTTACTTTTTCCTTAAATTTTTTTTTCTCTTTTGGATCAACCAATCCACCAACTAAGGCAGTAGCATTTAAGTCCAGCTTCTTTCCCGAGTACATGGGACTCCCCTCAGGACCACTGTCTCTGTCTGATGTAGGTGGCTCTGGAAGGTGGGGTGCAGCCATGTAGGACACCATAGGCAAAGCTAGAGCCTGTTGCACGAGAGTCTGGGGCCTTGTGCTGTGGTTTTCTGCTCTGCCCGCTTGATCCCCATGGTCCCTGGTGGACACACATGCTGCATGGGTGAATCTCATGGTCCTCCCTGCATGAGGCTGGGCTTCTGACCCTGGCTACCTCCATTCTCTGCCCTCAGAACTGAATGCACTGCAGGAGGAGCTGCGAAGTTTGGGTGTTGTTGTATTGGGCTTTCCTTGTAACCAGTTTGGAAGACAGGAACCAGGAAAGAACTCGGAGATCCTCTCTGGGCTCAAGTGAGTGCCTGTGTGGGACCCTAGAGACCCTCATTCTGGAAACTGCTAGGGTGGGCGAAGAACATCACCCTGCCCATTGACAGTGCTCAAACAATCTCTCTCCCTTTGGTTCTCTGATGGTCAGAGTAGGGGAAGATCTAATGAAAAGAAGTGCAGGGGGCAGGAGAGAATACAGGAAATGGAAATGAATCCGAAGCCCATGCTCAAAATATCGCCTTCCAGTTTTCTTAGAAGTCCTTGTTGGGTCCGTGACACCCACTGCCTGAAGCCCTGCTTCCCAGAGTGCTCCTTCCTCACCTTCCCTGCCTACGCTCCTCCGTCTCCAGTCTCCTTTGGTTGGTGGCCATTTCCGTCCCTCCTTGTTCTAATCTGGGTCCTCTTGGGAACACTGTGGTCCATTGCAGATATGTGCGTCCAGGTGGTGGCTTTGTCCCCAATTTCCAGCTCTTTGAGAAAGGGGATGTGAATGGAGAAAACGAACAGAAGATCTTCACCTTTCTGAAGGTGGGTGAACGTAGCCTGGTGCAGTGGCGATGCCTGAAAGCTGGGGCTCCTGTCTGGGGCTGGCACAGACTTCTTAGAGAGAGATTCTCAGGTTTGAGGATCATGGCAGCATCCATTGTCGAGGTTTTGCTTTAAGAGGAAGCATATGATACACAACAGCTCTGTCGTATACTAACCGCCCCTACTCGATGGTAACGATCCAGTCAGCCGACACATTTATTCCATCTCTAACATGTGCTGGGATTGTGCTAGGCAATGTTAGTGTGGCTGCTTCCTGCAGGAGCTCACACGGGATCAGGAGACTCGCAGACATGGTATGGTAGAGGGCCGTGTGCGAGGGCACTGAGGGTTAGAACCGAGGAACACCAGGACCGGAGGACCCGGGGCCCTTAGCCCACCTGTCTCCGAGTGCTGGTCCGCAGAACAAAGCTGGGCCTGGGTGATATTTGCACCCATCCACAGCAAACTGAAAAAAGAAAAGAAAAAGATGAGATGGACAAATACCAATTTATTAAATGTAGACCATAACTTACTCTAACAAATTACTGTTAGGTTATACCATATAAATTACCTTTTTGTGGCTCAAAAATAGTGATATCATTAATTTTAGAGTTACAACCACTATTGAAAAACCCTTTAGTTTTTGAATTTGTAGTTATAATAAATTTTTAATTTTTCTTATTGTCAAAATGAACATTCATCATTCTACATTTCTTTTCAGAAAATAGCTCTTGAGCTTTTTACTGGCCTACAAGGCTCCAGACTCTAGGAACTATTATTTTAGCCCAACCCAGCATTTTTTTTATTTCAAGCCATCACTTTCCACCCAAGGATGCTGACGGTGCAGAAAGGATATGACTTGCCCAGGGTTAGGGGATGTTCTTTACTGAAGCACCATGCAGAGACTGATGGAGGAGAGAGGCAGAGGTGCTTTCTGTTCACGGTTGCACGTTCTGCCCCGGGCGGGCTGGCGTCGGTGCTCTGGTGATGGATGGTTCAGTGAAAAGTCTGCCGTGACGGGGGGCCTTCCGTAATTAACGTGTCAGCATAGAGTGGTGAGCGGACCGTTGCCGGGGGAGAAGACTGCACCACACAGACTCGGAAGCAAACTCATCTCCATTTTTCCCTTCTGTCCTCCAGAACTCCTGCCCTCCAACCTCTGAACTTTTGGGGTCACCAGGGCTGCTCTTCTGGGAGCCCATGAAGGTCCACGACATCCGCTGGAACTTCGAGAAGTTCCTGGTGGGGCCGGACGGAATCCCTGTCATGCGCTGGTTCCACAAGGCTCCAGTCAGCACGGTGAAGTCCGACATCCTCGAGTACCTGAAGCGGCTCCACGCCCAGTAGGGAGGGCAGCCACGGCGGAAGCGGCCCTCCTGCCTCCCCACGCGAGCACAAGTCTAAGCAAGGCCACCTTTGCTCCCCATGCTTCCTGCCAGTCCATATCACCAGAGCCTCTGCATGTGCGAGCCGCCGACCGGACACATGTAGGCGTGTGTGTGTGTGTGTGTGTGTGTGTGTGTGTGTGTGTGTGTGTGTTGGAGGATCGAGGGAACAAAACACCTACGCAAACCTGATCCCGAGGTACCGAGTTTCTCCCAATCACCTTTTAGGGTAATGCAGACCCCCCAGTATGTCTGAAGAAGCAAGCCTGGAAGTTGTGTGGGTGAACCTCCCCGGACCCGAGCGGAAGGGAGGCAGGGCCCGGCTCTCTGGGGCCTGCCCAGCGCCCCCCGCGGCAGGGCCCTGAGCAGAGCGCAGAGGCCCCTCCTCGGAGGGAGGGCGGCCTGACGGCCCGGCCCGGGGCTCCGGACCCTAGGTGCATTCGGGTCTCGGCCGGCAGGGAAGTCCCTCCATTCCGAATGCCGGCGTTCTCACCGCCTGAGTCCCCGCTCCGAGCCAGTTCCTGCCACCGGCTCTCAGTCGAAGGAAACTTCTACAGCAAGGGGCTCCACACCCGTGCCCGGCACCCGCCCTGCCAGTCAGAGCTCCCCCTTCATGAGGTCTCTGCTCCCTCACCTCGCCCTGCTCTTCTGTATTTTGCTTTCCCCCACAGCGCTCTAGAACTTTCCTTGTCACATCCAAAAGCAGCAGGGTTACCGGTAGCAACAACAAAAAGCATAACAAAAACTTCTCCTGTTTAGAGGTCAGCCCGGGCCATTTATAATCCAGTCTTCCAGGACAGACTCAGATTTCAGAAAATCGGACACTAAGAAGACTGGGTGAGGGAGTAAAGCAGCTATTTTTCCCGTAACAAATTGTTTTGACACAGGCGCTTGCACTTTGAGCTTGGCACGTGCGGTGGGGTGTACCCGACAGCAGCGCCTCACGTTGCGGGCTCGCGTCCTGCTGTCTGCCGAACAGACATGAAGACCACAGACCGCACCAGAAAGTTCCTAAGTGCCAGGCACACGAGACATAGAACGTACTTAGATGTTTCGTTTCCTTGAAGTCAGAATCTAGTAAGGAAGAATGGGTTTTAGAAATCTGGCCGCCGCGGCCCGAAACCAGGCTCGAGACCCCACGAGTCCGCCCCGCCGTCGCGGGTGGCGAGAGGAGTTTGACTTGGAGCCCCTTCTCCATCCTGACCGGTCCCCGGGAGGCTCCAGCTCTGCTAACGGAGGAGGCGCCCCCGGGGACGGGCGGGGACGTGGGCAGGAGCTGCCTGGTGGGAGCCGCCCGGGTCCGGGGGCTGGAGGGAGCTCGAGGGCGCGGGTTCTGAGGGCGGCCGCGACCCCGGGTGCTGCGAACTGCCGGTTTCACCCAGTCGAATGCACGGGACAGGCCCTTTCCTTCCGCGCCAGCACCGTGAGGCCGGGCGTAGCTGTCCTGGTTCCGCCGGCGGGCCCTTCTGGGTTCCCGTTGTTTTGTGTTGGGCCCTTCTGGTCTTCCCACTGATCTCCCCAGATTTACAACAGGACTATGCTCACCGCTAGATTCATTACAACTTGCTCGGGCTCTTTTTGAAAAAAAAAATAGATTGGTGGGGTGATAATTCAAATGCAAAATCCTGCCAAAGCATAATGCACCGAACTGCTTCGATCAATTTTCACATTCTTTTTGCATTAAAATGTTTGTAAACAGCCAGAATGTGCTCAGTTTAAAGCACCAAGACCTGTATGACCCGCCTAGACCCCAACAATCCCCAGCTATAACTGATTCCATAAACAGGCAATTCATGCTCCACTGCTAGCTACAGAGGGACATCAGCCTCCACGAAGTCTGCCGGGCTGGGCCAGGGAAACGCTCCAACGCTGACCTGCACCCGGGCCCCGTGTTTGCCATCTTGAAAAGGACACTGCCCATGCTAATCCTCTTAAGGAAAGAATTGGAAGACCCTACTCACGATAATTAACCGGAAGCTAAAACACCTGCCCTGAGTACCCCAGACAGGACGGCATCCTGAGAAACCGTGGGAGACTGCACCACACATCCACGGAAACCCAACTGCATCCCGGGGTCTCCAGGACTCCTTTGCGTCTCCCATTCGTCCATCCAATAGTTCAACACACATTCACTGCCTATCTCTTATGTGCCAGGCATATTTCCAAAGGCAGGAGACACAGCAGGGAGCAAAGCTAGCAAAAACCACTGTTGTAGTGAACCTTACTTTACAATAAATAAATAAAAGAAGAAAGAAAGGAATGTGTGCAATAAGTAAATTTACCAGATCCTGATGAACTCTGTGAAGAAAAATAAAGCAAGGAAAGAGTAAAGGGAGCATACAGGGCGGGTCAGGGCAGTCAGAACGCATCCCCTCATTGGTTGGATAAATTCGATGGTGAATGCTTTTAAAATTTTTAAATCTTAATGAAAAATGGCATGACTACTATCTTACTCTACAAACCCTAAGTAGCAAGGCAGAGCAATTAGAAAGGTGTCCTTTCTACTGGGACCTCCTCTCTCCCTTTGGGGGCCCTGGCTGCCCCCCAGCACCCTGCACCAGCCTCAGCTGCCTTCCTGCTGGCCAAGGCGCCTTGGGCTTGCCGCCTTAGCTCCAGGGCACCGCTCCCCACACTGAAGGAGGCTTTGGCAGGCCTTGAGGAGTAAGCACACCAACACCCAACACCAAGGAGGAGTCTGGCACGTTAGTCAGCAGTTCAGGGGCTGTGGTTTCTATCTCTACTCTCACGTCTGACATAGTTGTGTGGGGCCAATGGCCAGACCCTCGTACAGCACCCTGAGGTAAGACTTTGAAGTTGCAGATGGAGGGTGGAAGCATCGTGTGACTTGGGACAGGTGCTGACACCCTAGTGCACAGAGCCTGTGACTGTGACTTCATTTAGAAATAAGCTCTTGGCGGGGGTACTCGGGTTTTCATGAAAGTCACACTGGGTCAGGGTGGCCATAATCCAGGGCTGTTTTTATGAGAGTAAAGAGAGGGAAATTGGAACACAGACACAGGAAGAGGACATGTGACAGAGGAGGTCGAGGGTGCTATTACTGACCGCAAACCAAGGAATTGCTACTGCTAAACACAAACCACAGGAGGCTGGTGCTTTGGACCAAACTATGCAGGGCTCTAACAAAGCAGGTACGAATCAAACAGGAGTTGTTAGTGCTAAAGTTCCACATCACCACGCTGAAACTGAGTGGTTTATTTGACCTTCGGAGTCAGGAAGAATATAGAACCAACAGCCAAATCCCAAAACAGGCCAGTTCCAAAGGGCGTGACAATGAAGTTCGCTCTGCATTAGTCCTCACACAAAAGAATAAACCAAAGTAACCCGATGCTAACTAACCAACCACCTTCCCATTGTTCTTGCTCCCTGTTCCTAACTTGCAGGGAAAGGAACTGAATGCCAATCCACTTCCTTGTTTTCATCTCTACTTTCTTTAAGCCCTTTTCTGTCTGCAAAGCCAACCTCTGCTGCTCAGCCCTCTGGGAAACTTCATTTTCCCCGAGCCAGGTATTGGTGGGAGAGTCAGGCAGGAGGCTGGCAGCTCTTCAGGAAATGTGCAGGTTTTGTGGTCACAGCTTCCTTAGCCTCTGGGCTGGGAAGGCCGGAGGTCAGTGATGATCCCGAGAAGTTTGTCCCTTCCTCAGATCCTCACTGGGGAGTTGCACCAGGCCCAGAGAGTTCTGTGGGAAGGAGAAGAGAGCAGCTCAGGGGTCTCCTGTTCACCAGCGCCCAGCCTAAGGAGCTCTCCCCTGGGGCCTGGAGAGGCTCACACCGCTGGCTGGCTAGCAATCAGTTAAATCAGCTGGGGATAGCCCTGCAGGGCAAGGCCCGTGTCCCAGGAAACTAGGACAGGGGTCAAGAGCAGGTTTTTCTCAGCAAGAAGACAGAAATTCACTTGGATACAAAGTCATTCTCGGGTGCAGGTGCGGGGCTGCATGGGCCTCTAGAACACGTCTCTCTGTGCAGCTTGCAAAGCACAGCATTTCCTAGAACTCAGGATTTCTCGTGGGGTTTTTGGAAAGTCCTGAAACATTCAAGTTCTTAACCAGGCAGCTTTTCCCCTTTGTTGTCTTCTAGTCCTAACTTTGTCCAACAAGAACAAGTTCTTCTTGGTATCTGCAGCTTCCACCACCTGAAGGTAACAGCGTCCTCAGGGTAGAGCGAAGGGTTCCTGAGCCTCCGCCCTGCATCCCGGGAGGAAGGAAGAACAGCTGCATCCACTGAGATGGAGATTCCGGCCTGGCCCAGTCAGGCCCAGCTCAGTGGCACCAGGGTAGGTGGCAGGGCGGTTGTCCCTCCACACAGGGCAAGACTCCCGGCCCAGGGGACTCGGTTAGTCACCTCCATGTCCTTTCTTTTGTTGTTGTTGTTTTGCTTTGCTTTGTTTTTGAGATAGGGTCTCACTATGTAGTTCAGACTGGTCTTGAACTCACAGCAATCCTCCTACCCAGCCTCCCAAGTGCTGGGATTACAGGTGTGCACCAGCATGCCCAGCTGTCCATGTCCTTCCTGGTGAGCCTCTTGCACCCTCTCATCCTATGGCGAGGGGTGTCCACGGGATGTTCGGACACCCCATCCAGGTGGCCTGGGGTGGGCCTGGCTGGAGACACTCCTGTGTGTTTCTCTGGCTGCAGCGACGTGGGCAGGGCCCGCTGTGCAGTTCCCGGGAGAGTCCATCGACGCCCTGTTCGTGTCAGAGCAGGGTCGTGGTGCCAGCGTCTCTGGCCTTCGGTGCTGGACAGGTAGGACTGCAGGGACTGTTCTCCAGGGGGCTTCTCTTGGGGATGTCATCTGGCGGCACCCGAGCAGTGAGCGAGCGGGATTACCCGGTCCGGTCCGAATTGGGATCCTCTTGGTGCCCTGCAGCCGGCCGAGGTCAGCTTTCTCCAACTCCAGCCTAGTGGCACGGCTCTGCGTCCCCGGGGGGCCTGGGACTCCAGATTTCAACCCCAGGAGCCCGGCCAGTGCTGCACCATGCACCAAGGGACAGAAGATGGTTGCTTTACATCCCTAAACCTGTGCAGTTTTCTAGAGCAGCAATACGCGCGGCGCAGGAAGATGTGTGTTACCAGGTACAGATTACGCAGCCGCGAAGAAGGGCTCACTGGAGACATTTGTAAGAAATGGATGCGCCTTGAGACCACAACATTAAGTGAAATAAATCAGACACATGGCTTCTCTTGTATGAGAAACCCAAGGTATTAAATTAAAGAGCAAAGTAAAAGCTAAGAAATAGGAAACTGGAAGTCGGACCTTTCACAGTTGGGAAGGGAACCAAGAACTGCAGGGAGGAGGAGCGGAGAGGAGGCGACATACAGAGGCTGCGATGTGTCCGGTACATGCACTCCCGCCACACCAGAGTACAAATACTGGGAGCGCAAACGCGCACTAATGACAAAAGCTTAAGCAAAACCCCCCAACCCCTTGCTCGCGAGGAAGCAGCGCTGGACGCATTAGCACAGCTGTTGGGGTCCACAGCCTCTTTCCTATCATAGCTGCCCTGCAATCCAGTTTTTCGACTGGTGGCAAAAGCCTCACTGCCTTCTCTGAGGCTCAAACTCAGGACCTTCAGATTATGAGGCTGACGCGCTGCCTGCTGCGCTAAGAAGGCGCTGGCTCTGCGGGTTGCTCATTAAAATTGTTGGTTTTAACGCGTCCAGGCTCGCGCGGGCTGACTGGGCGGCCGACCGGGGCGCACCAGAGAGGCGCGCTCGCCCGCGTCCGCAGGACTCCACCCTGACTGAGCCCGGCGCGCGGACAGTCGCCTCGGCCCCCACTCCCGGCGGGGGCACCGGACTCGGCTTCCACCCGCCCCGCCCGCGTGGGCGCGGCTTCCCGGCCACAGGCTCGGGCGCCGTCGCCAACCTGGACGCCTGGACGGCGGCGGCCCCGGCGCTGCAGCCGAGCGAGGTACGGAGAGCGAGGCCAGGAGCGCAGAGCGGCTGCGGAGCAGGCCTCCGACCGGGCGGAAATGAGCCGCCTGCGGGAATGAAGAGGTTTCCGCCCGCCGCCCTGCGGTAGGAGGAGCGCGGGGGGCTTTCCGTGGACTCAGGCGCTCACTGGTCCAAACGTCCTCGCCTGCAGGCTGTGGGAGCGGCTCACAGGATCGTTTAGGACGCTCGACGTCGACAGCACTTGCCGAGATCACGAGTGACCCGACAGCGGCCGCGCACCTCGCACGGTGCGGCCCGTGCGGGCCTGTAGGAGTTCGTTAGGAATCGGGGAGGGCCTTAGCTGCGCACACGGAGGACGCGGCCACGAGCTCACTGCGTCCCGCACAACCCTGAGGCGGCGCCCAGCGCGCCTACGCAGGTAGCGTGGCCGAGCGGTCTAAGGCGCTGGATTAAGGCTCCAGTCTCTTCGGGGGCGTGGGTTCGAATCCCACCGCTGCCAAGCCTATTGCAGGTTGACACAAACTGGGAGCAGGACTCTCGAAAGCCTGCAGCAGGAACTCCAGAACGGCCCCATCTTATAATAAATAGGTGAAAGACAGCTGTGGTCTTTAAAGGGAACCTTTCTTTAAAGTTGTATCCAAGGGGACATTTTTAAAATGTTTTCCACAGAAATAGGTGGAACACACGGCTCGAAGTCAGCACGGTGAATCCACTCAGCGGTCCGCGGTCCACACGGCTCGGCCGAGAGCTTCCTGGCAGCGCAGTTGCTGAATCAAATCCTGCGCGTGAGGGCTTCAGCCCCCTTCTGAGCGGCGACTCCCTCCCCCTCCCGCTGTGCCAGAAGTGTGCTTCCTCAGCACCCTGCCCGGCGCAGAGCACCGTAACAGGGACAGTTATATCCCACTGCGGCCCAGAGACTGGCGGAAGTTCTTTGCATTGTCACAGCACACGCTCGGCAATGCACGAGAAAACCCGCATCAGTCTCCGTTTACAGAGCAGAAAATGAGCTGCGATCGCCCCTTGGATTGAAGGTGGAGGAACAGATGTCAGTGCCTGCGGCGGGCTGAAAATGCCCCTTCCTCCAGGCACCTACATTCCGGCTCTGGCTCCCGGAACCGTGAATATTACCGTACGTGGCAAAGCAAAAGAAAGCTAAACTGGAGCCGGACCCCGAGGTGGGACTGCTGGACCTGAACCTCGCGGGAAGCGTCGGTCAGAGGCGCAGCCTGGCTCTCCCAGCCCCGCCGGGCAGGACAGGGTCCAGGCCTCAGGCACAGCCCTCTCCGCGGGGGTGGAGGCCAGCGCCGGGATTCTGGACTTCCGGCCTCTAAAATATGAGTAAACATATTTCTTTTGCTTTAAGACAGCAATTTTGTGGCAATTTTTTATAGAAGCCCCAGGACGGTAATGCAACATCTTTAAGGACTCCT